TATTGGACACTTAATCCTACTGATATTTGAGGTGTCCTCAGAAAACACTGTTTACTGTCTCATGCTTTTTTGTTTGTTTCTGATGCAACAGAAGATTTCTAGGTTATTTTTAGAAAGCAATAACAAGCGTTGTTCTTTAATAACCTTCCCCCTTAGGTTTTTATTAAGCTATGAATTTATCATGGCGCTCTACTATATGATGTAGCCCCTCTCTAGAAATGTATATCTAAGTCTTTTACAAAAATACAAACTTTTTGAGTCAAATCCTCCCAGAAAGAATCAATAAGAAATAAATTTCTTGGTTTTTGTTGTTTGAAACAGGGTCTCTCTACATAGCTCTCTCTGTCCTGGAATTCATTATGTAGACCAGGTTGGCCTTGAACTCACAGAGAGCCACCTGAATCTGGAACTAAAGACATGTACCACTAAGGCTAGCAGATATAAATTCATTTCCATTGCGTTTATACAACAAAAATGTCTTGACAGATTATAGCAGATATTTGTGGGCCTGGCACATTCTAATAACTGGAAATGGTTCTGAGAATTGGTACTTGAAGTTTCAAAGTTGTGTTGCCCTTTTGGTTTAATTAAGAGCATCTAGCTTTGGTGAGCTAAGGCTTCTTTAGTCAGTTTTCCTGGGAGGCTCCACTCTCAGGAGCCCCAGGCACGACTAGAGAAGGAAACTGACAACCAAACGGAAACCCAAATCAATACAGAAAATCACTCACTGAACCCCAATACAGAAAATCACTCACTGAACCCCAAATCAATACAGGAAAACCATTCACTGAACCCTAAATCAAACCTAAAAATCACTGAACTCCAAATCAATATAGAAACTCACTGAACCCCAAATCTATACAGAAACTCACTTTTGTTTCCTTAAGTTTGAAACCAAAAACAGTGTGAAAAGGACTGAGCCGAGAGTCATGCCTTTAAGCATAGTAGAACAGTTCAGTCTTCAGGTAGCTCAGTCAACCCAAACGGAAACTCAGCTGTACATCGGTCTTGACTCTGGTACTGAGTTTGCTGTTGTAACGCCAGTTTCTAGCAGAGATCTAGTCCATCACGCAGTAGCTGACTGGCAGGCAGAATTCCTTACCTGGAACTGAACAGGTCTGTGTGACTTAAATTTCCAAAAGCTCTTTGGTTTAGTCTGACCCATCAGGTCTTCTGGGAGTTCTATGTAAAGAACTGTAGCTCAGTTCCCCCAACAAAGACTGCTGTACCTCCCTTCCTACCAGATTCCCTCGAGCTTAAGTTACCCTTGGCAGTTTAGCACCTGTTAGAAGGTGTGGGTAAAACCAAAATGAATGTTTACCAGCTCACTCATGAGATGGGAGCCCTGTAAACAACTAGGGGAGACTCTCACCTCTGGGTGTAGCATTTGGAAACTGACAGGCTGGAAGAAGCTGAGGCTAACTCCTAGAGGCCTGGGATGACCCAGAGAGTCTAAGAGCTCAATAAATTATATATCCTGTAGCTTTTAGAACAATGGACCCTTCCCAGCCTACATGGCTGGATCTGCAGTCATCACAGACAATGACTGGGCTTGCAGAGACTTTCCTGGAACTGCTAGGGATGAGGCCCAAGCAGGGACTGGCTGTTCTAATGGATGAGTAAGGACCAGAGGAACAGTTTTACACAGCTTCCAAAAAGGAGCTAAACTTCTACCATGGGTAAGAAAGCACATTCCTAGCCTCCTACAGTCAGCAGTGGGAACTCGAGGAAGGCAGGGAACGGAAGGCAGGATCCCGATGAAGCTCAGAAAGAAAGAACATTACTTGAGAACAATCCTTCGGCAGCCAGAGCCAGAGCTTGTTGGTTATGTATGTGGGGTATGTACTCTGGTGTTTGGACTGTTTGCCTGTTCACCTGGAGAGTGAAAAACAAACAAACAAACAAACAGCAAGACAAATCAAAACCGAAAGTCAAGCAAAACGCTCGCTGGTCTGGTTCATGTTTCCAGAGCCTGTGGAAAGGAACTGCACCCACTCCTAGACCAACGTGCAAGATCCTGATAGAGAGGCCCGTGGAAGACCCTTGCAGCAGCATCTTTAAGATGCTTCATGTCAAAGTGGACTCACTAGGACCTTTAAGAAAGAACCGAGCGAGCCATGAGAGGCTCAGTTCCCACTTAAGAATGGGAAGAGTGCCAGGAAGACCCAGGCTTTCTGTTTGGGAAGCCAAGGGAAAAAGCACAAGGTACTCTCCACCCTGAAGGTTCAGAGGGTAGGGCTGGCTGGCCCTGCCAAGAGAGTAAATGGGGTAATAGTTGAGCACTGCTATGCACCCAGCCCTTATCTACCTAGCTTCTTCCATCTTTTAGGGGTGTGGCAGAGTGGTGCATGGGAGCCATAGCTGTACATCTGATGGATGACTGCAAAAGCACCGGGTGCAGCAGGAACCTGCAGGGGAGAATTAGCTAAGGGGCAAACGGCATTCCCAAGGTCCTCAAACACTGAGCTGGGAGAAGGTGCAAACTGCTCATGATGGAGAGGAGAAAAAGGCCGCAGCTGAATAAATGCTTTGCGCTTATTTCTTGTTATTACAGATAGTCATTTCGCTTTTACAGCTCTGTAATTTCCCAAGAGTTCTTACCTTGTCCCCAGGTTCAAAGTTCTAACATTTCACTGGAGGGTCCCACTCCCACTCTGGAACTGTGTCCTGGCTCTCATGTCCTACATAGCGTAGGAACACACTTCCCTGTGAAGAGAAGCAGAGAACAGGAAACCCAGAGAAGGAACTGGAAGGGGCCATGCACTACGGTCTACACCCTGCACTGGTTCTTGCTGGGCTCTGCTCCACAATGGACTACCTTCCTCACTTGAAGCCATCAGTTTGGCAGAAACTTGGACCCCAGGATGGAGGCTGCCTGGCATATGAATAGTTTTGTTTTTTCAGCACATGGTACACGTTTCAACAAAATGACCGACTAACAAATGTATATTAACCCGGGGAACACCCAGGAGTGGAGAAGCTCATTAGGAAATGTCAAGAATGGCCCGTGTGTTGACCCTCACAGGTGACCGATTACAAATAGGTCATTACTAAACAAGAGTGGGGAGCTGGGAGTCTGGCATGGTACATACCTTTAATCCCAGCATTTGGGAGGCAGAGGCAGGCGGATCTTTACAGGTGAGGCAGCCTGGTCTATGTAGCTGGTTCTAGGCCAGCTGGAGCTGTATGAAGAGACCTTTTCTTAAATGAAACAAAGAAGGGTATGAAAATCCAGAAATGAATGAAGCCTATTCACTGCTGGGACCCAGAAATCCACGATTCTGTTTCAGGACTGGTTTTCTGTCTATACAGTTCAGCAATCATTTTAACCTCGTTGATGTTCCAACTTTGTCATTATAAAAAGGAAGGTGGTGGTGCACGACTTTAATCCCATCACTTGGGAGGCAGGGGCAGGGAGATTTCTGGGAGTTCAAGGCCAGCCTGGGCTACAGAGTGAGTTCCACGACATCCAGGGCCACACAAAGAAACCCTGTCTACAAACAAACAAACAAAAAAACCCAAAGTGGTGTGTGTGTGTGTGTGTGTGTGTGTGTGTGTGTGTGTGAGGGGTATCCCCTCTCATAATGGAGTTAGGGCATCCTTCTCTTGCTAGTATCTCTACATCCTTGGGAATTTGGTAGGCAATCTTCAGGAGGTAGGCATTCCCCTTCCATACTGAGTTTTAGGGACTAGGAGACTGAAATTTATCTCCTCTTTTTCTAGGAAAAGATAACTGAGACTAATATACAGAACACATCCATTATAAAATGACTTTACAGAAAGTTTCCAAGTTTCCTTTTCAAGATGTTAAAAATACATCAAGAGGTCTGAAGAGTTGGCTCAGCGGTCAGAGCACCTTTTGCTTTTGCAGAGGAAACAGGTTTGATTCCCAGCACTCGCCTGTGGGTCACAGCTGTCCATCACGTCTAGTTCCGGGGCATCAAACACCTGCTTCTGACCTCTGCAGGCACCAGCGCACCCACATGGTATACATACATACATGCATGCAAGCAAAATACTCCTACATATAAAATAAGTTACATCCTCAAAAAGAACAAATCATTCTGGGAAAACCTGACTTGACTGAACTGTCCCAAAAACAAGTGGTAGTAGCAGAAATTTTAGACATAGCTCCTTCCAACAGACACAGGCAGGGCCTGAGTGTTAACAATGTTGGGGGGCCTGAGTGGGGGAAAGACAGGCATGATTCTGGCTAGTGGCTCTCACTACCTGGGTTAAGTGAAAATGTTATGGATATCCCCTAATGTTCACTAACACTCATAAGAAACCGGGATAGGCTTGATTCTATGCAGGCAGCTGGTCACCTTTTGATTATGTAAAGCTAGACGTACAGTCCCATAGTGACTTTCGAACAGTTCATAATTAGGTTGTGCTAGAGTTGCTACATTGTTGGCGTTCTTCTGGCTCCTCAAGCCTGAAGGGGCACCACAGTCATTCGTAACCAGACAGTGGACATGTGCTCCCAACGCTGGTTTCCCACATCCCACGACTAAGGAAGGAGGGGGCTTGCACGTACTCAGTAGTACCAGTCAGCAGCTACACTGGTGCTATTTTTAGCAAAATGGCTTTAAACTGGGCTTAATTATGTTTCCCACAAACTAAAGTACTAACATATTTAGCACCTTTGATCTTTTAGGTACTATACAGGTGCATTCATTTTTTTTCTTCCATGATATAACTAAACATTTACTAGAAAAAATTAGTTAAGAGCACAAAATCAGGTCATGCAATCTGGAAAAGTCTGCGTCATCCCAGATGACATGCACTATTAATTGGATTCTTTTAAAATCTCTAAAAAGTCAAAACAATTCACCAAGTGGGCGACGAGATGACAAGGACATTTCAAGTGTTCCCAGTCATGATGGCATTTCTCAGGGGACCCTTGAAGTAACCAGAGAGTCAGAAGTTCATGTCACTAGAGGGAGGTGATTTCTTCTCAAAGGACACAAACCCCATAATTCAAACTTGGCACACATGTAATCGATCTTTTTTGATCTGCAAAATTTTATTAAGCAATAGCTGGACAAATCTTACAATTTCAAATCATCAAGAAAAAAATGAGATTGACTCATTTCAATTTTAAAGGCAAAATAATTTGGACAAACTACATCATTCTGAATGCAAACCATTATTTCCTTCTAGAATACTTTCTGGACAATCTAGTATACAAAATACATACAAAGATAGGCAAATAAGGGAGAGCTCATTGAGATGCAATGGTGACTCTCAACAGATCTTGTCTGGAAGGTTAAAGCAAAATGCTGAATTTTAAAATGAAATAAAAAATGTTAAAAAACAAACGTTGGAGGAACCGACGTGTATAAAACAGTGCACGCTGTTCCCCAAGTGTGGGCAAGAACATGCTGGTGGTCTTGTCTGGTCTGTGACCTATGTACCCCACACTGCACATTTATGGCGATAAAAACATGACAGAGAAGGAGAAAGACAGATGCCAGCAGTAGCAATAGTAGTAAACTCGGAAATTATGTCCAACTTCATAGTACTAAAATAATGCATTTATAAACAAATGCAAACAATACACCTTTGGTAAATAATACAGTGCCTTTTCCACTCAAATGTATAACCCATGCTTTTCTACAACACAAGAAAAAAATTATCTACAATAAACAAGATTTTAAAATCCTACCCTTTCCCTTAAAATTGACTTATAAACAGAAAATACAGATACAAAGTCACAAGAGAATTGCACAAAGCTGAAGAAAATGGAAACAAAGTAAGTCACAATCCTCCAAAGTTTATCAGCTGACGATAAGGAGATCACAGTGGTGTAGACTTCTGAACTGTATGCTACCATAAGCTCCCAGGAACTCAAATGCCAGTTCAAAGCCAGCTAGTGTTGTCAACCTGTCCATGGCCCCACAGGACAGCATGGGTTCCCTTTAGTGTAGCACTATCACACATGAGCACACCAAAGGTGGGAAACCGTTACCAGCACTCTTCTTTCTGAACCCACTTCCAGTTTTATACCCAAATAATACCTTATTTTACTTGAGGACGTCCACTGAGTAGAACATACTCATAGAGGACTTCCATTGTACTTAGATTGATGCTTCTATAATTTTTAGTAGAATAAATATTATTCTAAATACATTTAGGGGTAAACCTGCTGGCTGGTTTCTGTTCCGGAGACAGTAGACAGCTTATAGACTCATGAGAACTTTTTTCTACACAGATAACCACGTTTTGAAACATACTCTCACCCTTGTGAAGGGGAAGATGAGCTGCTCAATTTTGAGCTCCCGGGCTCCTGGAGCAAGAATGTAGTGTTTACACTTGTCTAGGCATGCCTTTTCATCTAAGGGATGGACAAAAGGAGGCCAGACACCCCAGGGCCTTGCCCAAAGTCACTCTCTGTCCTTGTGGCAGGACAATTTGACCTTGAGCCCCTGACCTTTGATTACAGAATGAACATTACACAGGGTGCAGGTCTGTGGATGAAAAGTACCAAAATGCAAAAGCTTTTGCTTTGTATGCCCATTAGAGCTGAATACGTCTAGCTGTGGTGGTCCCAGTTTTCCTCGGGCTACACACTCAAATGGGTAGTGTCTATTCACCCACAGCTGGTGTTCTAATGACGCTAGAGCCAAGTAAACGTAGCACTAGTTTTCATGTTGGTTCACATACTCTTTTTCCTACAGGACTTTATGTAGTTGACTGTTTTTAATTTAGGGATCCAATGGGACATTGGGACATTCACAAAATTGCTATCAATAACCACAAAGTACCTAGAATTCTGTTACTTAGACTTAATTTGGGGAGAATGTAATCAAGAGATGTTGACTGGAAGAAGCCATTACCTTAAATGAGCCAATCACAACTGCTGCAGCCAGCAGCCTACTGCCCACGTGGAAGCTGAGACTCACTCTCTGCCTGGGCAAGGAGAGGCAGTGAGGGGCAGGCGCTCCTGCAGCTCCCAGGTCAAGCACTGTTCAAGGCCACAAGCCTACATCTCCATAGCAGAAAGTATCTTTTGGGGATTTCCTCCATATCTGTTTTTATTTAGCAAAGTTGTGAGTATAACTTTTGCATTTCTGAAAAGGCCAGTTTAACTAAAAAAACAAACAAAACCAAATCTCGACCTTGAAGATTATTCCCTAAGGGCCTCCTTTGAGACTCTCAGAGTCTCTCCCTTGAACTTGAAGATAATTCCCTAAGGGCCTCTTTTGAGACTCTCATCTCAGGCGTCTCTCCCTTCCTTGTGTCCTATCACATTTTGTTTTTAATTAACGTTTTCAAAATAAGAAATATTATCTTAGGGTATACTTTCTCAAAGAAATAGCCTATTTTGCATATAATCAATACTGAGATAAAGAATGAATTTATTTTTTTAAGGGATTAATAAGATTTTCTCCCAACTCTCAAGAAAGTTACAAATCACCCAGCCCCCCAAAAATCTTCTGTCATATTCTCTTTATTTTTTGCAGCAAAATCTATTGCCACCAAATAAGTCATTACAAAGGTACTATTTTTCTAAATAAATAATAAAATGGGCACATATCACCAATACATAGCAACAAAATAGTTCTCAAGAATACTATAAAGAGCAAGATAAATAACTATCTCTTAGACCACAAAACAAAGAAAACTGCATTTAAATTATTCCATAAACAGGCTACAACAGTATTGCACAACTAAGATAAGCACTGAGACATCTTATCAAGCTATAGGAACTTACGTAAACACAGTAACTCTGAATATACTGTTCAACTTGGTCTGGGACAACTGACCCACCTAAGAATCAGCTCCCATATTTTAAATTATAAAATGGAAAACTCCAGTATCAGCTGGGAGATATTCTTGTCCATATTTCTTTGGAATTTAGAAAAAATGAGTAATTTAATTTTGCTCAGCTAAAGGAATCAGACAGTTTCTTTTCTAATTCTTAAACCAAACATAAGGAAGAGGAGGAAGAAGAGGAGAAAGAGAAAGACGGGGAAGAAGAGGAAGAGGAAGAGGAGGAGGAAACCAAAACAATGTTTAAGCTGAAAATAATTTCCTGTAGCATCTTCCACTTGTCAGATTTCAAATAAAATCCAACTCAAAAGTCAACGCTCTTGTGCTCTGGGAACAAGCATCACAGGTAATAGCAGCAGCAACAAGAACTGGGTCGTACTACAAGGTCTAGGTATGTGCCCCCGTGTGTTCCCATGAGAAGAAATTTCGCAAAGATGCTACAGGCAGAATGAACAAAGCACAGTTTTAACACGGCTTTCCCGTGGTTCATCTTTTAGTACAGCCTACACACCCAACAACAGTTTTTTTTTCCTTTACAGCATATTGTGGAGTTTTCCCCAAAGATTTTACCATGACCCTATCTTTTAATATCCTGGGAAATGCATACTTTTTTTGATTACACTATAATTGTTGGAAAACGTTCGCATCAACTGGATTTTAATGTGGACAAGGAAAGGTGTAGCTGCAACCAAGTCTCGTTTATGTTTTAGAAAAGACAGAGCAGTAGGATCTAAAGAGAGTGGCGGCTACAGTAAACGTTCCAGATGAAAACAAGGAAGGAAGGAGAACAGAGGCTGTTTCCTGAGCCGTGGAGGGAGGGACCTGGTAACTGCACAGTCTAATGACTGTGACGTAAGCCCAGCTCTACCCCAGCCTGGACCTGCCTACTGACTGAAGTCTCTTATCTTTTTCCAAAGTCAGATGGGCTTAACCCTGACACAAGAAACCGGTGGGGTTTCCAACTAGTATCCTTGGGAAATGGTCCTTACATAAGTCACACCCGCAGCTCAGCCAGTTGTCTGCATGGGAGCCTGTCTCCATGGGCAGTATCTTCCTCACACACTGACTACCAAATCACATCGATACTGCCTTATATGAGCAGAGCACAAGGCAGTTGCATATGTGTCCCTCAGTCACCCAGGTACCTTTTAGTGAGCAGCACACATTTGTGAATGAAATGCTGTCCTCCTCAGCCCAATACAAGCTGAATCTTCCAGAGTTTTGGTTGTGTTTAAAACCTTTTTTTTCACGTGTGATAATATTGGAAGGGTAACAGAAGCCCTAACACTAACACTCCCTATAGCTAAAAGAAGAGCAAGGTTGAACAATCTGTCTTCTCTGCAAAGGCCCCTAACCCTAGTCATGAGAAGTAAATTCAGTACAACACTCTGTAGCCAAGCTACACTGCCTTCAAGAACACAAGATACCTCAAATTCTTGGCTTCCAAACACCACTCTATCAAAAGAAAAGAGACAATAAAGGCTAACTGAACAAACGACCATGCCTACAGATCTTCTGGCCTGCCGGCTTCCTCTACTGCCGTTGTCTCTGGTCTTCTCAGGTAGTAGCAGCATGAGCTCTGCCTCCAAAGGCTCCCGCCATGTCTCCACCCGCATTTGTCTCTTCATTTTAGGCGCTGAGTCACGTTGGCCAAGGCCACAGCAAAAGCCTGCACAGCTGAGAAAGGGTACTGGAAGTCCAGGATGTACGCATTACCATCAATCCGTCCAAACTGCATCACCTAGGGGAGGATGCAGGAAGCAAACACATGAAAACAAAGTGAGACAACAGCCAGTTGTGCCTGCTCCGAGGGAAGCAGAGTGCAGTCCAGGAGAGAGTTCTAGAAACTCAAGTAAGTGAATCTGCTGGGCTCCAGATCTAACTCCAGGTTTATAGGAAACAGGACAGAAGGTCATGGCTGATAATGTAAGGGGGACAGGAGCTCACATGGAGCTACAGGTAAGATAAAGTGGGCTCTCTGGGGAAAAGAAAGACTCTACACCACACCGAGAGACTTCAGAGATGTGCCAACTTTGTTAAATGTTTCTGCCTCAGAGCAGGCTTCACTGGTGACTTTCTAGAGTACCACAACTCCCTTTCCTCTATGCTCCTTGTCCTGCTCAACTTGTGACTTTGCCACTTCCTGTGACCTTAAAACATGAGATGACTGCAGTCCAGCATAGGATACACACCCATTTCCTTGTGATCTTCTCCCTTCTTACCAGTTACTTCCATGTCTCTCACTAGTCCCATCTCACTTAGGATAAGGGTTGGCAAGTTTTCTGTAAAGTGCTGTTAAACACTTTAGGCCCTGTAATTCATATGCTCTGCAGAACCACTCAATTTTGCTCATGTGAGATGAAAGTACTTGTAGAATTTATTAGGCAGAACTGTATATCAATAATACTTTATTTACAAACAGGAAAGGGACTACATGGATATACAGGCCAGTTTGTCAATTCTTGGCTTAGAAACTGCCAGGCACACAGCAGGCAGGAAAAATATTTGACGAGTTAACTAAGTAAAAATGAAATTTAAGATGGATGGGCCTCCTAGGATGGTCAGGAGATGAAGTGAGGTGGCAGGGCTACAGAGGCCACCATGCTGTGACAAGCACTGTCTTGTCATCTGTGACTTCATCTGTACCAGGGAGACTTGCTTTCTATTAGAGAACTGGAGGATGACTTAGCAATAAACACAGAGAGAAATAAGCAAACAATAATTAGATAATGAAAATATTGAGGAAAAACTCATAAAAGGTACAGCTGTGAACCACTCAGTGTAGAGGTTTGAAAGGTGTGTGTGAATGCTTAGCCATAGGAAGTATTACTATTAGGAGATCTGGCCTTGCTGTGGGGGAGGGCGAGGAGGGGAGTTATAGTCTCCTATGCTTATGCTAAGCCCAATGTGTCACAGTCGCTTTACGCCCGCAGATTGAGATGTAGAACTCTCCTTCTCCAGTACCGTGTCTGCCTGTGCGATGCCATGCTTTCACTCTGATAATAGACTAAACCTCGGCAACTGTAAGCCAGCTCCAATGAAATGGTTTCCTTTTGTAAGAGTTGCAATAGTCATGGTGCCTCTTCACAGCAGTAACACCCTAAGACACTCAGTGACATAATGCAGTCACCAATACCTAGTACTTACACTGGGAAAGTAGGGGTAGCTCTCCTGTGTACTAATGAAGTAGGGAAGGCAGGGTTGCCGACCATAACATTCTTCCATAGCTGATAACACAGCTGGGAAGGAGTACTGTATACATTACAGTCAGTCTGCCAAAACTGCATTGTCTTGGGGCCAAGGTGGTGGGAAGCAAAGGCATGAAATGAAAGAGTTGATAAGAGGTAACTAAGTTTGCCAGCTCCTGAGGGAAGCAGACAGCACAATCCACTAGAGCTACTCAGGAAGGCAACACATGATGGCTAAACTACAAGTGTCAATAAATAAGAATATATGTTTTTGCAAATATAATGACAGCAGAAAACACCGAACTTTAGGCACCTACAACTAAAGAGCAGGTGGTAAGGGGTATTCGTGGGGCTGTGCTTTCCCTTTCTAACAATCTGCCTAATGGCTCATGCATCACTTGGATTTAAATGCTTGCTCCCAGAGTTCAAGGCTCTGGCCCCGAGTGCTCAGTGACCACAGGCCACAGTCTCCTTACCTGTCGTCCCTCCAACTCAATCTGGAAGTTCTTGGCAGACTCCTGGGTCACCCTTCCTCCAAAGTCCAGCTGGTACACCTGTGTGGCTTCATTCCACAGAGGCTGCTTGTTGGCCATCACATACACAAAGCCCTGGCTGCCCAGGCGCCCATCTTCCTTCTCACTGGCTTTTCGGCACTTGAATTCCTCCAGCTCACTGGCCGTCCGCAGGCTCCTCTTGCTTTTCCACCCCTTCTTGCTGCCCTGGCTTTGGTTCATCAGCTCATCCCCACTGATGAACAGCTCGGGCTCACTCTCTGAGCTGTCCTGGAACTCGTTTGTCTTGTTCAACTTCTTTGACTTCAGTTGGTCTTTCTGACTTTTCACTTTCTTCTTCTCTCTCCCTAGGCGGGGGCTGGAGATAAGAGAATTAAAGTCACTCAAAGTCCTAGCATCCTTTTTTACTTTGCCCTCAGTGATGGCCTGAACACTTCCTTCCTCCGCTCGGCTATCCAGGCGCTTCCGGTTCTTCTTTCCAAATTTTTCTGTTCTCTGGGGAACAGGGCTTTCTGTCAGAGAGAGGACTTCTTGGAAATTGTCTGCTGTCTCTACCATCACCTCTGTGCCCATGTGGCTTTGGAGCTCGGCAGGTGGAGGGGACACAAGAGGCTTCTCCACCACTAAGTGGGGCTTGGAGGGGAGTGTGCCCTGGGTATTCTGCATGGGTGGGCAGGTTCCGTAGGGATTCCAAGGGTGCAAGGCGATGGGTGGCAGCTGTAAACTGGAGCATGTGCTGCTTCCTGGATATGTGGGGGGCAAGGTGCAATAGGAAAGGCTGGGTGGGTAGGCTGGCTGAAGTCCGACAGCAGACTCCTGTTGTGCAAACTGGGCCGGGGACAGGGCATCCTTAGGGGAGCATGGGGCTTGTACTCCAGGCAAGGAGGGGTTATTATAGCTGCCTGGATACGGCACTCCCATCCCATAGCCTGTCTGGAAGGTGGCAGTAGGGCTGGACGGAGACTTGGGAGACACAAAGGGCACTCGAGCGACATCCAGGTGCTGGCCTTGCCCTAGCATTAGAGGGGACAGTTTTAAGGGGTTGGGCACTGTAGGTTGTGCTGTCCTTTCCTGGGGAACCCAAACGTCCTCACCCAGCACAGGGTCCCACTGGTAAGGGGGAGGCCGCTTCATGGTGACAGCAGCTTCAGGAAGTGGGGGATGCCTCAGAGGCTTCTCCAGCTGACAGTGCTGAGACAGGGTCTCGTCCTCCGTGAAGGCCGAGTTGACATAGTCAGTGCGATCACGGGAGGTGTCAGGAGGGCTTAGAAGATTGTAGGAGGACTGGGAGGCCAGTGGGGAGGTGCTCATAGCATGGGCCAGGGCTGCCCCGGACTGTGAGCTGGGCCCTGCTCCACTGCACTGGCTGCAGGTGTACAGGGCAGGTGGGGGCCTTGCTGGGAGCTGTGCCACTGCCCCACCAGCACCCCCCTTAGGCTTGGCTGGGGGCTGCAGTGGGGCACGGGAGCTGTCAGCCAGCTGGGCCATCTTAAGTGCAACTTCTCGGTTGTTCCTTCGTAGGGTGGCATGGATAAGACTGTTGTCCAACCTTTGAGTAGCACTCCGCCCCTGGGCCAGCTGGCTAGCGATTTCAGGGTATGGAGGTGGGTCCCCTGTGGGGATGGAGTATCGAGGGACAGTTAGTCGGTTCAGAGTGGCACTGGTGCAGGGTTGGGGGACCTTCTTCTCAGTGGCTGTGAGTCTCAAGGTGGCAGAAGTGCCTGGGCCAGGAAGAGTATAGGTGTTCTGGGAACAGAGCATCCGAGTGCGGGGCCGGCACACCTCTTCCACATTGCCGCTGCTGTCGAAGGTGGTGATCCTCTCATAGCCTAGAGGAGGCTGGTAATGTGCTGCTGTAGGGTACAGGGAGAAGTCACCCTTCTTCAAACACACATCCACTGGGGGCTGTGGTGGTGGCAGAGGGGGTGGGGGTGCAGCCGTGGTAGGGGCAGCAGGGATAGTTCCTGGGTACGGGGGTGGGGGATTCATCTTTGCCACCTGGACCTCCTGCGGGGCACTGAAAACCACCGCATCCCCCTCGGCAGCCAGCTGAGGCACGGGCCGCAGGGCCTTGGCTGGCTTCTGCAGGTGCTCATGGTCCCGATCTCCATGGTCCACCGCAGACAGCTGCATAGGCCCCGGTGGCGGTGGCGGTGGCGGCAAAGGCAACTGAGGAGGATTCTGAATGATACGGCCCATTTCTACACCTCCAAAGATGACCTGTCCAGGATTGGAGTACCGACTGGAGACTGGGTACTGGGTAGCAGCATCACCTGCATGCTCTACTGACCCTACAGCTGTTGTCTGATTGGTCAAGACATCCAACTGCACATTTTGATTGGCCAGCAGAGACTGCACCAGCCCTATGCTCTGTGTGGGAGACAAAGCTTGAGCAGAGCTGTGGATCGGTGCGATAGGGATGTTCACTGTACAAGGTGGGTTGTTTTCAGGGACACCCGAGGCTCCTGTAACTGTAAAGCAAACAAGCAAACAAACAAGAATTGGTTGCAAAACAGTGTCATAGAACTAGGTCAGAATAAGATACATGGTTATGTAGAGTGAAAGATTATAGATACTGGGTATATAGAATCCTTTTTAGACATATAAAATATTCTTTAGGCTTTCTTTATAAGGACATGGAAAATTTTCTGAGAAACGAGCCATGAAGCAAGCCAAGAATGTGGAAAGATCAGTCACCATTACTGGAACTGGCCGACCGCAAAGAGAAAGGAAAGAATGCAAGTGAGCTAGGTGGAACCAAGCTGGGAACCAAGCTGGGAACCAAGCTGGGAACCAAGCTGGGAACCAAGCTGGTAACTGCAGTGACAGGGCAAGGCCAAAGTAATAGGGCAGGACCACATTCTTGAGAAAGATTAGGGTACAGAGAGTTTTCACATGACCCTGACTCACGTAGGTTGGGTTCCTTTGGAATGTTCCTTTATTTTTATGTTATACCACCTTAGCAACCCCTCATCCCCCTCCCCACTCCTTGGTTTGTGGTTTTTCCCTTTAAAAACCCCTCTCAAACTGGCTGTCGGGTCGATTCAGCTCCTGCATGAGCAAACGAATTGACCGGCAGCTAGCTGTCACATGCCCAAATAAACCTCGCTATTGGTCCAGTTCACAGTGTCTCGGAGACTTGAGTGAGGGTCTCCCCTCTGCGGGGGTCTTCAGTTAAACATATCTGAACTTTTCCAAGCAAAATCTAATCACTAAGACTGAGATGTGTTTGCTTGGAGACAATGGGTCTGTTCACAAAGCTGCTTTAACATTTCTGGAAGAATAGAGCCAACTGAGGAGTGTGCAGCATGGCCTGTCTGTTGAACATGGGCTAAGGTACTGTTGAAACATCTCAATGAACATGTTTGAACCTTCTGAATTTGGTACCATGTGCTTGCATGATACCAATATACATAAATGTCTAAAGAACTCTTTAGTGGTTTTGCTTATAAAACGCCTATGTAAAATAAAGTAGAAGCACCAAAGAAAAGAATCCCCTGGAAATAGGCATATTAGCTAAATGCCTTTTGCCTATTTATTGCTTTTTAGCATTTCAAACAGTATTTAAGGCACAACCAACCAATAAAAGCATGTGGAAATTCCATTTACTATCCAGTGGTCACTTCATGAAGCAGGAATGTCAACCGTGACTTGCAGGCAGGTGTTCAGAGCCACAGTCTGTGCCCCTGTGGGCAGTGGTGTTGACTCTAGCTTTGCTCCCCTCAGCCTACTAAGTGGCTGTATCTCTTCCTCAGAGCACACTGTCACAGGCCCAGAGGGATGAAATGCTGCAGAGCAATAATTGAGCAGCAAACAGGATCTAACAGGCTTATTATATAGGATGGCTGACTTCACCCAAACAGTAGAATGTGGCCAACAAGTTACCACAAGTTACGCCTGGCCTTGGGGCCTGTTATTGGCCCCTTCACTGGGGCCTCCCCTGAGACAGTCCATCCTCTGGCTGTAGGAATCTGGTTCCACCTCAGGATTCGTATGCTGATCTCTCTCTGGTCTCCAGGGAGCAATGTCTTCAGGTATCTCCCTCTCCAATGGAGAGGCTCTGTGGATTCACAATCCCTGACTGTGAGCCCTGAGAAAGTGCACTCCGTTTTCTAACAGAGAACTAAACACACACACACTTAACTGTAGAGAAAACTCTAATCACTGCATCTAGGACAGCAAAGAGATTGTCAAGGGAAAGTATGAGCCGAGTCCAAACCAGAGACTGAAATGGCCGAGCACGGGTCAAGCTTCCCACCCAAGTGCATTCCCCAAAGGGCAAGTGCTGGGGTGGAAACAGAGTCAGGGTCTACAAAACATGTACTTAAAAAGTCAGACTGTTTCTCAAGTGCCCTTGAGTAGCTGAGACTAGTAAGATACAACTCACTGGCAGCCGCTGGAACACACTCTGATTTGGGACTAGAACAAGATCATATAGCAATCCCGACTATAGCTTTCCTCCCCAAGCTGCTTCTGGTCACAGTGTTTACTTAAGCAACGGGGAGCAAAGAAAGGCAGCACGTGATGTGAGAGGTGCTCTGTGAACTGTCACTTGTCACTGCCATCTAAACCACACATGCTGTGTGAGGAGCAGCGTGGTGGAGGGAACGCAGGCCCTGGGTGCTGCTGCTGGGAGTTTTCTTCCTGCCAAAAAGCACGCCCAGCGGTTTTCCTCCTAGGATACACTGTGCCCTTGTATGATCCACTAAGAGGGGGGTTGCAACAGATAAGCCTGAGTGTGTGACACACCTGGTAAGTCATCTTCATCTTCACTGAAAACGTTTGGGTTGAAGACCGGCAGATTAATATAGTCCATGGAGATCTTCCTAACTTCCGGGAGGTAAATGGTCATCTGGCGAGGCTGGAGGTGCAGCAGGCTGGTTTTATAGATGACTGGTGAGAGGAAGGAGGACACGGTTAGTAGAGGCACACCAGAGGAGAGCCAGAAGGGAGGCAGAGGAGCAGTGTGGTAGAGGGAACGCAGGCTCTGGGTGCTGCTGCTGGCTGCCCATCTGCTGGCTGCACCAGGAGCTGGAGTGGAGCTCTAGTGTCTTCTGAGGAACACAAGGTGGGACCGGAAAGTTCTTGTCTGTCTACAGAACCACAAATTTTAAATGCCAAAAACATGTCTTGGACTTCCCCTTCCTTATAATGAGCAGATCCAGGGAAAACAGTCCTTAGAAGCTTCGTTTGTGACCAGAAAGGGGATTGAATTCAAACCGTGCAGCTGAGGGCGCTCCACTCAGGAGACTGGGGGACCACGGAGGCATGGGGAGGGAGGAGCTGGGGTTCAGGGTGAAGTCTCACTGAGTCTCGCCTATAGTGATCTGCACAGGGATTTATAGTCTGTTTAAACCTTAAGACTTAACTTGAAGAACATGGTTAAAAGGATGTCTAAGTTGGAAATAAAATAGAAAAGATAAAATTAATTTTCAAATGTGAATCTAAGTTTCACAAGCAGGTTAAAAGCAAGATTAGGCTTCTATCATCTCTTTTATGTTTAAATGTTTATTAATTATTATCATTATAAATTTAATCATGTGTGTGACATGTGTGTACCATGATACATGTGTGGAGGTGAGTTCTATCTTACCACCTCACAGAGTTAGGAGATTAAACTTAGGTTGCCTGGCCTTTGTGCCTTTACCCACTGGGCAACCTCAGTGATCCATCTTTTATGTTTAATACTCTTTCCTGTGAAACTATACATAAAGGTACTTTAACAGAATTTTCAGTTAGAAAAGCCACATCCTATGTCTGCCACTGGCTCTGGGCCTGACAAACCAGTGCATTCTAGAGGCCGTGGCTTTGCTGGTTTGAAGCTGCTGCCCGAGGGATCTTTCCTACCCACAGTCTCATTACACTTACCCACAAAACACAATGTGAAATTTGGTGGAAAAGTTCTATGTCGTTCTGAGTTAGTACAAAAGTACTGTCCAGAGCAATAAAGAACTATTTTTTCCCCATTGAGGAATGCTTACAAGCATCACTTGCATCTAGCGGGGCAAAACCAGGTTGGTAGTAGTAAGGTGGATGAGAGCTCTTTCTCTCTTCCTCCCATCCTCTTTCCTTCTCTCTCCCCATCTTCCTCTGCCCCGTCTCTCCATTTCTTCCCTCTTCTCTCCTGTCTCTTTCTTCCTTTCTCTTTCTCTCGCCCTCTCTCTTCCCATTTCTTCTCCCCAAACCCACTGTGAACGTCCTTTAACACTTCTGAATTTTGAATTTACGACAATTCTTAGGCTGTGTAAAAAACTGAAAAGGAAGAAATCTGGCTCAGTCCCAGCCACCATGGCTCTGTGTACCCCATGCCATGAGTCTCAACAAGGACTGCAGGTGACCAACTACATGAGCAAGCTCTGACACAGCCAGTGGGTTCCTGGGACCATTAGCAAGTAGATCAAGCTCATGTGGGAGGTCACGTGTCACACGCCTTGGAGGTGTGTGGCTTCCTGCCCTGGATCAGCAGAGCATGGAGATGAGGTAAACTGAGGGTGGGAAGGCTGCACAGTGAGGACTTGTCTCAGGAGAGGAGGGGAGGAGAGTGGAGGGGGTGGTGCCAAGAAGAGGAGGGGAGGTGAGTAACACACTAGCTGCCAGGAGCAGAGAGATGAAGCCAGACCCACTTGCTGTCCTCTCCCTCAGTACGTCTCTATACTGAACTTACTGCCCCCCACCCCACCCACGGGCTAGTCTGTTCTAAGTGAAGGAAACGAATGCTTAAATGTAAGGAATGATAGGGAACACTCACTTTCCAAGTCCATTAGAGCACCACACATTGTCTTTGAGAAGATTAATAGGTAACATGAATAGTATACTTCCTAAAATCCAAAACTTGTTTTGTCTAATATAATCAAGTGGGAAATTCTTTAGGTTCGGTCACAGCAGCTATAAGGAAGTATTGCACTTTTAAAAAGCCATTGGTTAGCAGAACAGTGGTCCCAGTGCTGTGTCAGGAAGCCTTGGTCCTGACAGGTTGCTAACTCAGGCTCCAACAGCATAGGCCCCTGGGGACAGCCAAGGCTCCCACTTAAGTATTTCTAACTGGCTTAACTATGGATCCACTCACAAGAAGAGAAGGACAGAATTTTGAAAAGATACATTAAATAAATCTTCACCTCAGTTCTCTCTCCCAGTCTTTATGTTAGGAAGACTAGATTCTCAGAGGTGTACTAAGGTGGGGATAATGGTGACATTTAACAAGTTGGTAGGGCACAGGTGAGTAACTCAACATTTTGTAGTCATCAGAGAGCTTCCTGAGCACTGAAATCCCCGTGGAGACAAGGGAGCTGCGCCATGGGAGAAAGTGAGGGAAGAAAAGGAGGACCCACTGTTAATGCAGTAAAACCACATTTACCGCATAAAACCCACACGGCGCCATGTCCCATTGTCTCTTTATCACACTATACACAGCAAGCCTTATTACTTTTTTGTGAGGCCAAGGACTAAATCCAATTCAATTTTATGTTCTACTTTGGTTTCACTTTTATTTGAACTGAAAACTTCATAATAAACATGGTGCTGTTTTAAGTGCATCCTACAGGTGGACACAAAGCAAGAGGCTTTTCAGCTGGGCTGAGGTGATGATGCTAGAGCTCTAACCTGGAGCCTTGGCTGTGTTAGGCCGTGCTGGGCCAATGCTGGGCCAATGCTGGGCCAATGCTGGGCTGTGCTGGGCCATGCTGTGCCTCAGCCTCAGTGAGGTTTTAGCATTTGGTTTGCAAGGATAACTTATTTTATAAGCCTGCCATAGGATACAACTTCTATAGACAGAATCTTGGAGAGCGATTTAAACTCAGCTGTAGAGAGCACATACTGGATCAAGGACCAGGGCCTGCCCGGCCCCACAGAGAGAAAGGTAAGATCAGCAAGTAGGCAGACTAGGAAGACGGGGAGTGGAGGTGGGGTTTGGCAAGTCTTCTAGGCTCCGCCCAGTGGTTATCTAGCAACCAACAGCTTGCATCTCTGTCAGCCCAGTGCCAGCTAACCTGGTGTGTAGGAAGCACTGCAGGCTACCCCAGCTCTCTAGCACTCTAGTGCTTTTCTGTTCCCCTCCCCCTATTCTCTCTCTCTCCCTCTACTCCTTTTCCAGGCCACTTTCCTTTCCTTCAATAAACTTCCTCTTGTACTAGGCCTGTCTCGTGGTGATGATTCCTCAGGAGAACACCTCGGCTGGGCCCGAGGTCCCCCTCCCACTACAGTATATCACTGTTTTAGAAAACACAATGGGGTGTGCATCGAGCGCAGCACAACTGCATGGAAGACCCAGCGAGCAGAAGAAGGCTGCTCTGGAAAGGCTCCTCAGCTAGGTCCACTTCTACCCGGCCCCTGAGATAAGGTAGTGAATACTTATTACTCACTGGGACAGGGATGCAGATAAGAAACAAAGCCTGCATGGGCCCAGCCTCTCTACTCCCCTCACATAAGTTTTCTCTGTGTCTCAAACCTGTCACAAGCAGATGCTTACCAGATAAGGAAAAGCAAGAACTGAATTCTTAAGAAAAGGAACCAGCTACCTTCTTGGTCTTTAACTTCTCTTTAGAAGTTTCTGGTAATGAAAGAACCTGAGCACTGGAACCTCGATCTGCTCACCACAGCCAAATGTCTAGAAGTCCTTCAAAGTCCTCTACTGGAGATTTTGGCTACTAACAGAGAGCTTATCAAAGAACAAATGACAGTACCAGGAATAAAAACCAGTGAGTGACAGATCTGTGGCGGGAGTCAAGGCGACAGACAGGAATCCTGAACTTTCTTAAGAGTTCATTTTCTAATTTAAACTGCCACAGGTTGAAACGGGAACTTTTATTGATTTCCAATGGGACAGCGACAAAATAGAGTGAGTGTTTACCTGCACCGAGGTTGGTTGGTAGGAATGCAGCCAAGCCCACAATCTTAAACTTGGTTCCCCAGATATTGGATGTGACCTGAGCAAGATAGTTGTGCTGTGGGGGGAGGAGAAAAGAAAAATAAAAAGAATCTCAGTCTATTTCATACAACTGTCTACTTAGAATGAACACTAACATGTGCAATGTTTAAGGAGACACTGCCAACTGATGACATTTTACAGATCCCAGGTTAACCAGAGCACAATGGGCTGCCATTTTCCAATGGTAGCCACTGAGCTGCAAGTGCTCACGTGTGTCCATGTGTTCAGTTTTAAAAGGGCATTAGCAGCAGTTAAGAGCATGTGCCGCAGAGCGGAGGACAGAAGCTCCATTCCCAGCACCCACATCAGGTGACTCACAACCATCTGTAATTCCAATCCCAGGGGATCTGGCCTCAGTGGGTACATGTATATACCTGGTGCACATAAACACACACAAGCATATATTCATGGATAAATTAAAAAATCTTTTAAAAGGTTATTAAAGGGCTCTGGAATGTGGCTCGGTTTGCAGAATGCCCATCCAGTATGCACGAAGCCCTTGGGTTGATCTCTACCACTGCACAAACTCAACCTGAATATATATGCCTGTAATCCTAGACTTTGGAAGTGAAGTTGGGAGGATCAGAAGTTCCTACACAGCAAGTCTGAGGCCACCCAGGGTAGAGGGGACCGTGTCTTTAAAATAAAATTTAAAAGGCCATCAGCACTCAGAGTAGTGGTGTATGTCTGTAGTTTCAACTAGTGAGGAGAACGAGGAGGCACCTGAGCCTGGGGAAAGGAACATGGCCTCACTGTAACAATCAGGAAAACATGAAGCAGGTGGGGTGGGCTGTGGTCTCAGCAATGGGGAAGCTGAGGCAGTAGTATACTGAGGTCCAGGCCAGTCTGGGCTACCGGCAATATTTGAAACTAATTAACTAATTAATAAAATAACAAAGTAGTAACAACATTATGTGAAATAAAGACAGAACTTAAAATTAAAAAAATAAAATAAAAATAAACAGGTAACCAAAGTGATTGGGACTCAATTTTGATTATCCTTTTCCTCATGGGTAAATTCTGCAGATTTCAGCTGAACTAAATCCATTATGTCCTTGAACCTCCCAATCATCCTAGTGTTTCATCATGTCGATGAAAAATATTTTAAAACGTCAGTGCTGTGCTCAAGGTGGGTGAGTAAAATATAGCTCCTGGAGGAGCTTAGGACCTAATGAGGACAACAGGCTTTTGTTGTTTGTATATAAAAACACGTTTGATAAACACTAGCAGGGGGTTAGACACGTGTTGGCTGGGCGAGGGCAGGAGGCCTTCACACAGAAGGAACACACTGGAACAGTTAGGGCTGGAAGTGAGGACAGAAACAGGGAGGAGCTAGAGAGGTGACGGAGGCAGAACATAGGCATGGAGAAGGCAGGCAAGGCCTGTGGGGCTATGGCCAGTGTCCCCTTCCTAGAACTGAGGAGTCACTGCAGGATCAGGAGGTAGATGTGAAGAAGGGAATACACCTCACTCAGAGCTCTCCTGGAGGCAGACTCCAGCAACAGAGAGGTACGTGGAACACAGCCACTCAGTCTGCACGCATGCAGCTGTGGCAATCAGTAAGACTGGCAAGTTTTGGAAAGGATGGCGGATCTTCCAGGTAGCCTGCTGCCTTACAGTGTGCAGGCTCCACTGTCAGCTAGGAGAGTCTACCTGAGTGACGTCTTCAAAAGGAAACTCTCTCCGGGTCAGGCTGGGTGAGCCCATGGAGGGCTTACGCATGGGCAATCGGGGAGACCGAGACATCTCTTGGGCAGCCCGTGGCAGCTTGGGTGACTTTCGGGCCTCAATGCTAATCCTGTGGAGACAAAGTGGGAGGGGTCAGAGGATGCATCTGGATCCAGAACCTTCTTTCTCTGACAGTCAGCTGTAGAATGTTGGCTCTCAATGGTCAGGGCACTCATTTCCCAAAGCTCTCTCTTGCTTTTGATTTAGAAACAAGGGGAAAGAATGCCAACTAAATACTATGTGATATATGTAGTATTTGAAAAATACAGAGATGACACCTGGTGATTCACCTGCAAGAGCCTACAAAATAAACACTCACCACCCAATGACTTACAGTATATTTAGAAAAGTGCATATGCCTTCTGCCACAGAATCAGCCCTAGGAAGACAGCAGGAGGGAAGACTGCTTTTCATCCTAAGGACACTGTGATTTACAAAACTTCTTTTATGTCAGTTTGGATTTTAGCAGATTTTTTAACATCACCACTGGTAATATTTAAGTCAAATCTGAAGCTTTCCTGCTGCCTCTGATTCCATATTCTTTCTCTACTCCTTTATTTACAATATAAAGATACAAGTATTTAACACTACTCTACTCAAAAGACAGTGCGATGAAAACAGCTTTGGTAGTGTTCATGATGTCCTATGACTAGTGCATGAAGCATACGATATATACTGTTTACAAACTGGTAAGAAACTTCAGGCTCCAGGGAAATGGGAAGACGGAGGACTGAGCTGTGCACACTGTTGGCTTAGCTGCTGTCTAAGTGTTCCAGGCAGAGAGAATGAGGAAGGGGCACCACTCATAAGAATGGCAGAATCTTCAGGGGATATTTATAGACAAATGTGTGGTGAATGACCTGTCTGCTTAGGAAGTGGAAAACACTACAGAATGATAGAAGTTCCTAATTTTATGAGCAGTTTAAATAAACTTTAGATGATAACAAAACAAACCCAATGCATCACATTCCTGGAACAGTAGAGTAGTAAAAATAAATGTTTACCCTTCATGTCATACACAAACATTGGGTTGGCTATAAAGCAGATCTGAGATATAACATGAAAACTAAAAATTTAAAGCTGCAGAGAGGATGCTCATGGTCTTAGGACAGAGATTTCCTAAGTGCAATACAAGAAGGACTGACTATAAATGGACCTCTCATACTGGACTATCTAGCAAAATGTATATTTGAAACAGAGTCCTCTCTGTTACAAGTCATTAAAACAATCCTCCAACAACAACAACAACAACAACAACAAAAGAAGGAAAAATTGAGACACTTCACCAAAGGCAACAACCAGATGCTGGCATAAACAGCAGCTTGACAGCACCAATCCCTGGAAACTCTAGACCCAAACTCTAGTGTCAGTGTCACTACACAGCCACACATTTATCTAGAATGGGTAAAACTATTAAAGTCACCACAGAGCTGGAAATGAGAATGGAAACCTTATATAGTGTTGTAGAAATTTAATCTGGTATAGTCACCTTGTAATGCTACTTGGTAGTTTCCACTAAAGTTTAAAATGTAGTTAATTCATGACCATGTAACTTCTTCCATAAGAATATATGCAAGAGAAATGAGTGCAATATTTCCCAAAAGATTGTACAAAAAAATTTATAATGGATTTATTCATTAAAGTCCCAAACTAGAGACTAGCCAATATCTATTGACTGGGAAAGCACATAACACATAGTGACATGTTTGTTATAATGAAATAATCCCATAAAGTGTTTTAAAACAAAAAGACAAACTACTGGTATCCATGATACTGTGTTGAGGAAAAAAACCTAAATAAAGAGTACCCGTATTCTTATGAAATTCAACAGCAAAAAAAAAAAAAAAAAAAAAAGAAAAAAAAACCCTATAGGAACAGAAGTCATTCTGAATACAATAAGTACAAAAAACCTTGTTTTCTGTTCTTAACCTGGAAGGGAGAACAAGGAAGCTGGGAAGCAGTGGTAGCTCCAGGTCCCACGGCTTCACTGCTGACCCTAGCGATGCCTCGAGGCCTTCATTTACCCTCTAACCTGGAGGAGAAAGGCAGGCAGGCAGGCAGGCAGGCAAGCTGTAATTACTCTAGAAAGAATCTTCCAGAATGAAAAATGGCAAGAAAACAAAAGTGGAGTTGATTTTGCTGCTGTTTAAGTGTGACCTTCCTTTCCTTCCTCTTCTTTTCAATGTAGCCAAGTTTATTTGGGTAGAGATGGTTCTAGAACTAAGCAGCAATCTAGTCCCAAGAGATTCAGAATCCTCATTCCAGTCATCTTGAACTGAACTCTGTATCTAGAACACTGTTACGCCATGTAGAGAGCCATAACAAAGGGAAGCCTACTGTTACCTTGGGAGTTTGGGGGACTTGCTAGCTCTGGAAATTTTGGGAGACTTCTTGGCAGCCCAATCATCACTCAGTTCAATATCACTGGAGTCTGAGCAGTTGCAGCTGTCAATCACGGTAGAAATTAAGCTGTTCCCATAGATCTCATCTGTAAGAAACCAATTGTAAGGTGTGAGCAACTGTAACTGCTGTACAGCCTGACCTTACGGGCTTCCTCATTAGGTTAGAGGTTAAAATATAAAGAAGCAGTCCTTTTCCTTTTACATTTTTTTATGTTCTTTTCTAAAAAGAAATAGGCAATTTCTGCTACTGTTATTAAGATGGTCGATATCTTACTGCCCTGGAAATATACAAAATTGCTCATTATGCCAAAAGTTGAAAACAAAAATTTTACTATTGAGTAAAACAGGTGACTGCCTAGTCCTGTGTGAACGTTCATCAAGACTGGAAAGCTAGGCTGAGGGCTCACCCACAGATTCCTCAGATTCTGCTTCTGGCTTTGGAAGGCCCAAGCTGTCCAGGACTGTGGAATCTACCATCTTGCTGAGTTGGGTCCATGCCACAGTCTCTGGGCAGTTCCGTCTAGAATGACAATTCTAGACTTGCTCAGGCAGTTGAGGGCCTAACAATCTCACCTGGTATAGCTGACCATGGCCAGAGCACTGAAAGGGAGACTCTGGGCAGTGAGAACTTTCAGTGGTAGGTTTGCGTTGCTCTGTGTGTACTTCATAGAAGTACACTTGCCAGCCCACACCAAATACAGACTGCTTAGTTGCTAACACGTTTTTGGGAAATGAGGTATTTGATCTTAAATTTTTTATAACTAAAAGTTATAAAGTAAAGTGAATCTACAAACACCGAGTCAGTGACCACTCTATGTGGTATGTGAGAAGTACTATGGAAGCCATTCCTAGTAACTTTGCTAGTTGGCCATCAGAAGAAAGATTAGACGTTCAAAACAGAGGGTTAAAACAAGTACAGCGGACCAAGCGCAAAACTGCAAGCAGACATGCTACTATCTCTTGCTGCTTCAACCACCCCACACTCTCATACCCATTCTTTTTGCCACCCAATCCCCATAGTTCTGCCTTCTGCTTATCCCAGAATGGTCTTGAACTTGCTACCCAGCTGAGGATGACTCTACTCTTCAACTCTTCCTACTTTAACTTCTGAAAGGCAAGGATATAGCCATGCAACCTTGCTTACTTTAATTCTAGATACTTGGTGAACATTCCTAGCAGGAAATCACAAAATTAAGTACATAAACATCTCCCAATGAACCCAGGTCCCACAACAGACCTCATCAGGTAATGAAAGGATCGAGCCCAGGAATGCAGAGCTAACCACAGCTCTCATGATGTGACAGTCCTGTCCTGTCAAGGTTACATGCTACCTCCATCCTCTGAGCTACTTTGTATATACCACTGAGCTGCCAATTAGTCATACCGTGCCTTGTGACACAGCTCCTATTTCTGTCATGAGGTGTTTAAATCTGATAAACTTTTCAAGTGCTTAAATTGTCCTGTGCTCCAGTAGGTTCACAGGGGGCTCACAGACATAGAGTAGGCACTGACTCGGTGTTTGTAGATTCACTTTATAACTTTTAGTTATAAAAAATTTAAGATCAAATACCTCATTTCTCAAAGATATGTTAGCAACTAAGCAGTCTGTATTTGGTGTGGGCTGGCAAGTGTGAGCATTTAGGAAAACTAGGCATGCCAGGCAGAGAAGGCTGGCCTTGGGAGGCTGCAGCCCCTCTGCAGAGGGAAGACAGATACACCGGGGAAATAAACAAGCCCTTCACCCAAGAAATCTTTATATTCAGTCTCGGCCTGGGTTTTTAGAGCTGTGCCTGGAGCAGGTCCCTGGGAGAGCAAGATACACAGTGAGGAGCATGCAGTCTCTGGGGACCTGGCCCCCTGAAGCCATTTCCTGCAATTTTCCACTTTCCTTTCCCTCCTGACTGCATGCCCTCAATTCTTCTTCTTGTTCCCTCTACCCTTGGTACTAGCTGATCATATGAATCAAAAATCAAGAAAGATGACAAACATTCACAGTTTAAAGCTGAGCTAATTGCTTTTAACTTTATATGGGAACCTGTGGTGGTGGAGAGCACGGTCACAGTTGCTGTGGTAACGCCTAGGACATGCGCAGATATGTAAAATACTGGCATCAGCAAGTGAGGCCCAGGATAAACATTGCCACTGCTTTAAGAACTAAGACGACCTTGGTCACACATACTATGGGAGCTTCAGGGACACAACGAAGGACAAAGAGCAGTCCAGAGGGTGAACTGACACTAGGAAGTGCAGAGTATTAACCAATGAAACAAACTCAGTATGAGCAATGCTGTCTCAAGGTCTAGTGCTACAAAGATGACCAGCTGCTCCCTCCAGGGCAAGCAGGCTCCTGAGACTAATAACTGTAGTGTGCCAAGCAGGACACTATGACGGGTGATGGACACCAAGGTCACTGTGTGCCTTCTGTGGCAGGGGTCACAGGAAGGCTGCAGAATGTATAAGCTGCAGGTACTCACAGGTCTGTGTACATTGAGCTGGCAACTAACTGGCACAAACCCTGGCAGCCCCTTCCTGGGGGCCTCAGTCTAGATCCTGTGGAGAGGCCCCTTTAATCTATCTGAGCACTAATGCCCACAAGAAAAGAATGACGCTTCATGTCGGACTGATAACGGGTCTGTAAGATACTTTCACTCTGGAAAACCCAATAGTGGATTAGCAGGGCAGAGGCAAAAGTACAAGGCTCAAGGTGGGCTGTAGGCTTGAAACTCTGAGCTGTCACCCTCCTGGGAAGGCTGGAACTTACTATTACGTCCTCACCTCAATACTACATCCAGGTACTCAAAGAGTACTTACTCGGTGACTGCGAGAGGGCTGGACTCGGGACCAGAAGACCTATGCTAGTAGCTTTCCCTGGGATGGGAGCTGATCTCTCCTTGACCTGATACACACGCATGCAATGCTGAGAAAACCTCCCAGCAAGGGTGTTTAGAAAACTGCTCACTCAGAAAACTGCGAGCCAGGGCAAGGAGGAACGTCAGCAGTGTGAGATACTAACCACCATGAAACAGTCTCAGAAACTGGTATTCTCCTTGCATGACTTTAAGGGTGATATTTCACAACCATACAAGAATGGTGTCTCAGTCCCTGCAGCAAAGTGCCTACCTGACTTGCTGTCTGTCCGAGGGTCCATAATGACAAACTCTGGCCGCAGCTTGCTGATGCGCCTCCCCTTGAGAATGGGCACGAGTCCTCCCAGATACTCCAGGTAGAGTGTGTAGCAGGGTCCTCCAACCTCTGGGTCATCCTCTGTACGCTTCATGGTGCAGTGCAGCCGTTCATTGCCCGCTGAGGGGTAGCTGACAAAGTCGCGCATGTTGTTGGGGTCTGGAATCGGGGGCTAGAGGCAGGACACAGGTAGAAAAAGGAGATCTGGGAACCCATAAAGAAAAAGAGCAGGCACAGACGTGCCTTCTGTCACAGATGCTCTGGCAGAGTATAGGCTAGGCAGAGGTCAACTATATGCTGTAGAAGATTACTCAAAACCGAGGAGGCTTTTAAACAGTAATTAAGTGAGGGTCCCACTTTGGACAATGAACTGCAAGTGTTAACACTTACTTTTTTCTGATATATCACACAAGAATTGAAAACTCCTAGCAATTATCAATATTGTATGGCAACTTAGAAAAAAAGCACCATTAGACTCTAACAGTCTAATGTATTAGGAGGAAAGCGATCAAGAAGTCAACCTAGAGACAGGAGAGTGATGGTCCACAGTGTACAGGCCTAGGGTCAATAGAAAGCCTCCTGTGAGCAGCGACTTAGCGACTGGCTGCTCTGTTTCACATGTCGCCACCTTACCGCAACATTTCTGGGTGACAGTCTGTATAAGAGATGGCTGGGAAGTGCACAATGAGGGAACCACACTCAGTACAGCAAAGACAAGAGCAAGCCTGAGAACGGGTCTGGACCGAATCCTGACCAGTGTCCTAACTAGCTTCAGAACAAGTTATTTCCCTCACATAAACTTCTTTCCTGCTCTATCAAGAGGCAACAATGTTAGAGTCTGCAGGAGTCAAGACTAAACAAAACCTCTTCATAAAATACTTGGTGTACTGTCAGTACTAAGTAAACAGTTTGCTCCTTTGACCATCAGGTTGACACAATAATCAAGCTGGCCATGAGAAAGGAAGCCCCCACATAGAGCAAACCTCACATGGCGACACTAACAGGGATGCCAGGCAGGCTGCAGATACATAACAACATATGGGTTTCTGCAAACTCCACGCAGCCATCCTCAGGCACTCTAATGGAGAAATGGGAAAGTGTCTGCATTACCTCTGGTCCTATTCCCCACCCCTCCTGTTTCTTGTGGTAGAAAGGCTAGAAAGGGAGCCCAGGAAGAACAGAAGGGGAAGACTACCTTAATAGTGGGAATGAAGGCAGTGGAGAGGTAGGAACAGAGACGAGGGGGCAAGGTCAGCTTGTTAACATCCTTGTCTTCTCGAAGGGTGCTGGCGATGGCCTGCTGGCACAACAGCTGGAGGCTGGACACTCGGTGTTCTACACGAACCACATACAGGGCTGGTCCTGAGGCCATAAGCAGCCGGGAGTCCCGATGACCCCAACAGATGGAGATGATGGGGCGCTACCAAAGAAAGAAGACACAGAGGGGATGGGGTACACAGTTAATCTTGTCCAGCAAAATAAAGTCACTTGCCAGTTTTGAGAACATTGGTATTTAAAGCATCGCAGAGAATGCTAGCTCTGTCTGAAATGGTTCCTAAAAGCACAGCAATTGCCTAGGGGTACACTCGTCTCTTCTTACTACAGGGCTGGCCACCTGGATCCTCAAATTATCCAGTGGTGGTGCCCATGAATTAGAAGGTGATAAAGTGGTACACCACATGACCTTTTCCCATTCTTCCATGAGACAGCACTTCAGGGTCAAATTAGCACTGGATGTGGGGCTCTGAGTCATGAAACTGGAGACTAACCCGAGCTCTTAAGCCTCCAAACTTTTTTTTTTATGAGTCGAATAGGAATGTTATGAGGATTACAGGAGAAGGTAGTACCACAGTGCTTCTAGGACCCCAGGAATGAAGTCACCACTGTTCTCCACTGGCCGCAAACAGACTTCTCTTTGGGAAAGGGAGAGCTGGGGAAGCAGCACTCCTAAGGAAGAGTCTAGGACTGAAGACCTCTGAAAACACAAGCTGCAATCCAAATGTGCGCATGTTAGGCACTGCTTCTACTGAAATAAGCCTCAAACGCAAGCGCATTATCTAAGTAAGAGTGTTGTCTAAGCTGAGCAAGGGGGGAAAAGATAAAGGGCTAAGATGGAGAAACGGTGAGCTCTGTTCACGCTGATCCAGACACATGGCGTGCTAATTTAATGAGGTCTCCAGGGCTTCAGAGATCACAAGTGGAGATGTCAAATCTTTTATATGAATGACAGAAACAGAATTCTCACAACACTTTAGTGACAAACATCGAGATGAAAGGAACACCTAACGACAATTCCTTAACAGAGGCCCTAGGGTCAGCTAATCCTGGTTTCAACTTCAAAAAGCAAAAAGCAAGGCTGAAGATAATTTATCTTGTATTTTTATGTATGCCAAGAATTTACACTACTAATCCAGACTTTCAACTAAACGCAAAGCTTCAATAGTCTCCCATTCACAAAATAAGCACATCTTCATAACCGGTTCCATTCTGCTGTCACAGTAAGTACCCACATGTATTATCTCATACTCCTCTCAACTGTCACACAGGCACTCCTGTTCAAGTTAACAACCGAGGAGTGGAGTCAAGGTGGAGGGCTAGGTGACTTAGGTCCAGATAATAAACAGGGAGAACTACAGCTCTTGGCCTAAGCTAGGAAGTGGTGCTTGTCTTATTACAAGTGGCCGCCTCTGCCTCTCCTAAGTACTGGTGTTCTGATACAGCACCACCTTAAGAGTGTGTACTATCTCACTCAGAAAATCAACTACATGTCATTCAGTAAGTAATGAACCCCATTCTCTCCCTAGTCCATTTGGGTAAAGGCTATTTTACTGAAACAACAACAACAACAACCATGTTTATAGAAAAAGCTAAAAGAACAAGCAGGACAAACAGGTTTCATAGACAGTACTGGCAAATGAATGGCAGGAAAGACTCCACGGGATAGGTGGGAACAAACAGGGGTGTACCACCAAGAAGCCTGAGTAGATGGCCGGCAGGAGAACCAGAGCCACAGACTCCCGCGGTCCAAGCTGGGCGGCATGAGGACTCAGAACATGAAGCTTTTGGCTTGAAGACACTAAGATGCTAAAGTACTGCACATTAGAGGCATTACATACCACAAGGATTCAGAGAGAAGAAGGGCATAATCTTTTGGGCAGATTTAAAACAACACGCTGTTATGTTGGTGTTAGGGATAAGTTTCTTTGAACTGAGAAAGCAGAGCAACACCTTCTATGTCCAGGAAATGGAATGCCAATGGACAGAGTCATGAGGTCTGTCTCAGTCCTGAATTCACAAATATTCAATCAAACACAAAAGTCTTAGAACTTAGAAAGACTGAACCGCTCCCCATCCTCTCCTGTCTGCCGGCTACGGACACATTTAAGTGTGTCCCCAGATGTTGAAAAATTAACCCTCAAAGTTTTATGATGTGACTGTTATTCAGTCATAAGACCCTTGAGAGGTAACAGGGATTAGAGTGGGTCATGGAATGAGGCTCCTCGAAGGCATAAGTTTCGGTATGGGAGGAAGGAATCCCGGCTGGCATGCATGCATGCTCTGTCTTGTATGTGCTGTGATGATGAGAAGACGGCCTCCCCGGAAGCTACCCTGACCTTCCTAACGCCCCATCCCAGGTACTAGCACTCCTTCTGACTCTGGGAGGTGGGGAGACAGCAACCTCCATCTGCTTTAACGTCATGCTCCAGCTTCCACATGGATTCCGCTCAGCTCACCGTCCCGCAAGTGCTGCTGTGTTCTACGTCACCTCTGCTTCCTTGCTTCCCAGGTTAGCAGGCTCACGCTGAAGCTGTCCTTCCTTTCCTGCCTATGCTCACAGCTCCTGCTGTAATCTCCTTCCTGTGCATGTCCTCCAGGCTAGCTGTGCTGTCGCCAAGCCCACTTTTCACCTTGTTCTTGCTCAGTGTGTTCATCATCATCATCATTATTATTTCTTCTTCCTCGTCTTCCCTCCTCTTCCTCCCTTCCCTGTCCCACGCCCGGTCTTAGTTGTTCATAAACACTGACTTCTGTGTCTCAGGTTACTCCCACTCCCCCTTCTGTTCATACACCTTGTCAGATCACACAGCTAAAGTCCAGACAGTCTATCTACTTCGGAAAGCACGTCGTTGCTCACTCTCTATTTTGGTTGTTGCAGCAACAGCCCCAGCAGCTAGAGCAGCGGGTGGTGGGTTGTGACCCCTTTAGGTCATACATCAGATATCCTGCATATCAGGTATTTACAGTTCATAACAGAACTAAAATTACAATTATGAGATAGCAGTGAAGTAATTTTTTGGCTGGGGGTCACCACAACATGAGGAACTGCATTAAAGAAAGGGTCCCAGCGATAAGACAGTTGGGAACCACTGCTGTCTTAGAAAAATATTTAACACACAGATGACCCCAGAAACACTGGTAGACTGGAAAACTCTTTTACAGTATAGTTTCCACTGTTGTGATGAGATCACTCAACCTAAAAACCCTCAAGTCCAGTCCTACCGTGTCTCCTTTCGGCTGCTATCCTGTTGGCTGACACAGTTCCCCTAACAGTTCTGTATGGCGCTCTATGTGCTCTGCACCTGCGGCTGCTGACTGAGGCCGTCCTGTGCACTCGAAGCACAGGCTCAGTCTCTTCGTTTGCCCTTTCCCACTATCTGCTCCCTCTGATTCTAGTCCCACTTCCTAATTACCCCACTCCTACCCCTATACCCAGACACACACGCACACACACAAGCACACACGCGTGCACACATACACATAGCTGGACTTCTGGCCCAGAGTCAGTAAACTATCCACTGAGACTAGAGGTGAGAGTGACTTGACTCCTGGATGCAGCCCTGACATTCAGAGAACCTCAGCCCTCAGGTGGTTCCATGTTAGTGTGCAACACTAAAGAACAGGAAGTGTGCCTGATGGAAGCACTTCCATGCTCTGCACCTTTACAAACAGCCATGAAAAGTGTAAGGGGGTCTTAGACTGCACAAAAACCTTCTGAATGAGGATAAGAGAAGAGACTGCCAGAGAGAAACATTCCCATAAAAAAGCAAGCTCTCCTTTTATCTATGTTACCACAGCATCTAGAAGACAATTCTAACTCAAAGTCTAGAGTGTGTATCTATAATTATTTATGTATTTTCCTTTAACTGGCTTCTCAGGTTCTGGTGGGAGGCACTAATATTGTCTCCTTGTTTGCCTCTCACATAATGATCCTTAAAGGCTTATGCCAGCCACAGTCATTTCTCAAAGTATCAGCTCTGCTTGGACTAATAAGGGATCAGATGTGCACGTACTTATTTGCTCACAAAGCTATAATGTTATCCAATTATACTCTTAAACCTTATAAACAAAACAGCTTGATTAGAAATGAGCAAAGTACTTGAAAAGCCATCTCTTTAACAACACACAAATCACCAGAGTGAGACGCTCAGTACAGTGTCACTCAACCTAGATCATGGCCACAATGAAGGAGCACCATACCCATATGACAGCTACTACCAATGGCAAAACCATAAAAGCACAACATCCAGAAAAGAACACTTGTGAAGACACAGAGAAACTGTGACTTAGAAAGGTGGGAGGGAATGTATAAGCAAGCAGCAGCAATGAAAAATGGTAGGTCAAAAGAAAAATGAAAAACTATCACAGGACCAAGAAGTGAATTTCTGGGTGCATATCCATAAGAACTTAAAAGAAGCGTTGTAATATTTGTACACCCATGTTCATAGCAGCATTGTTTACAACAGTCACCCAGATATGGAGGTATATGCCTTTAGTATGAGCCCTTGGGAAACAGAGATGAAAGATCTCTGTTATTTCAAAAACAGCCTAGTCTACATATCAAGCTTGAGGCCAAGCTAGGCTACAAAGAGAAACCCTGTCTCAAATAAAACAAAGCAACAGCCAAAGATGGAAGGAACTCAAATGTCCATGGTGTATAAGTAGGCAAACGAAATGTATTATTATGTTCACATAAGAGTATCTACTTGGCCATAAAAGGACAGGCAGACTCTCCCTTTGCACTGTAACACAGATGAATACTGTATGATGGATATCGTGCTCAGTCAAACAAGCTACATGCTCTCTGATTTCATTTCCCAGGGCACAGAGTGTGATTCACAGAAACAGAGGACACTGTGCTGCACAGACCTGGGACTTCCATTTCTTTCCACCAGGACAAGGAAGATAATTGCCAGAGACTATGGCGGAGGCTCTGCAGCAAACCCTGGCCTTGACTTACATTGTTTGTCTCTGACAAGCCTTTCCCCCTTGCTGTGTGCTTTAGTTTGCAGTCTTATACTGCCCTCTGAAATCTACTCTAGAGTGCTACTCAATTCTCTGTTTCTACTTTTCTCTTGTCAACTTCATTTTTGTTACACGAAGAACTCACAAAGACAAAATTCTCCCTTACAAACAACTGTGTGAAGACCTAGAATTCACTCATCTCTGGGTTTTTCTTGAAGCAGATCCCTGTATTAACTCTCTATGCATTTGATTTCAAAATGGAATCAAATATTTTGGTTAAAAGATAAAAGCTGCTTTCTTCCCTAACTCCCTGGATTATAGGCCAAGAATCAGTTGGGATAAACAATTAAAATAAATCTTGCCAAAACTAATTACAGTAAGAATAACTAATTCATGATTATTTACCAAAAATAGAGCATAGCGACCCACTGGATTCTCAAGTGTTCTTACCTGCACAAGTGTATCCAGAGTGAAAATGTGTTCCCCTCTCACATTGTAGAACTTGACCATGGCACTCCTCAGAAGAGGACCATTGGGCAGCTCACTGAGCTGGGCCTGCTGCTCCATCCCAGCAACTGCCAGTAAGTCTCCCTGTGTACACCACTGGGCCACCACCTCTGCAACCATACAAAAGGGTCAGTTAGCATGAGGACACAGCCCTCCTCAACAGTCGTATCACTGTGTCTTCCGCAGCTTAAAACACAATTCCCAAACAAAGCAGGCAGAGGCTCTTCGGTCTTTCTTTCGTAAGGGTATACTTCGCACAAGATAATAATACTCTTCTAAAAACTATTTATTTTGAAGGGGATTGCTGCTCCTTTGGAACATAACTAATTCAGGGTGAAACCTCTTCTAAGAAAACCTACAAGTTAAAGCCAGGTATGGTAGCATGTGCTTGTCAGCCTAGCTACTTGGTAGGTGAAGGCAAAAGGGTCACAGTTAAGGTCAGCCTGGGTTATATAGCAAGATCTAATTATTAAAACATAATAGTGATATACATATACATATATAGGATAAAAATAAATGCTGAAATGTTGAATATGTACCTCCAGTATCATCATTCCCACAATAAAATTGTGAACTACTCCTAAGTAAGGTAAGACCTATGGCTGAGTCATGTTCTATCAGGGCTTTCCTACTGTGGTGTCTTCCTTCATGCCCACAGGTGACTAAAAGAGTTTATTTATAAGTTCTCCAATTAAAAAAATAGATTGAGGTAAATTCCAATTAGTAGTTGATATTTGGGGACCCCTGGGTATAAAGTTCAGGCCCTGGATGCACGTGTATACAGCAGAGCTCTGGCTTTTTGCTGGAGACTTATGATGTGGACAGAGACAGAACAAAGGCATTCCTGCTGAGTGCCAGGTAGCATGAATGGAGACATCTTCACACTAGAAATGAGATGCCTACCTACAAATGGTACTGAATGCTGTGTCTTTTTCTAGTATAAGCAACTACTTATTTCTTGGTGATAAAATGGATAGATAAGATAGATGACAGACAGAGAGACAGACAGACAGACACCTATTAGTACTAATGAGATTCACAAGCTTTCTTCTCTCTCAATGCCTTCAAACTACCATCTGGTTATACAGCTCTCTGAAATACAGATCCATTTTGTAGAGAGGTTGGACTAAATCACTGAAGGTGCCCTGATGACATCCACATAGATCAGAACCCAGGACTAGAATTCAGTGCCCAATCTATACTAGGTCACAGGTGATCAAACTCCATGTGATGGGAAAGACTTGGATGCTGAAGCTAGCACACTGTGTAGTAGCTGAGTTCTTTCACCTGCTGGAGAAGCTAGAGAGCACTCCTTGAGGTGAGGCAGCCTCCTAGTCCTTTCTCATTAAGTCAAAACAGAGCAGAAACCAGGAAACAGCTTAATAGCTCCAAACACAGAACAGAAAGGCTGTAAGCACCTGAAATCCTACAACCATCAACAAACAGTATTTCTCATATGAATTAAAATCAAACTAGGTAACAAAAAGTAATTTTTAAAAAATCAAGTAAATATCCTAGTTAAGATTTTAACACAACAGGAGAGGGAACTAGAGAACATATGTATAGAGTGCTCTGCACGTGTGAGGCCAGATCATGCCTAGAGAAAAGCCTGGTCATGACTGTGAGACTGAAATGACCTGCTCTGGAGGATAGCATTTTGCACTCAAAGAACCTAGAGACAAAAAGTGAAAGCAGCAACAAGATGGCCCTGCTAGCATTCCTGAGATGGGAAAGGGATGGCAATGTTCCCAAGGCCCCTCATCTAACCCACCCTGTTTAGTGGGTGGGTAAATGACTGTACCACACTTCTTTCTTTCGTTCTTTTAAGATTCTGCAAAATTTTGACACAAAGTAGATTTAACAACTAGAAGGCAAGCTGTTGTCTCTGCAGCACTGGCCTGGATGTGCAATGCTTCAGAATTCTCAGAGCCAAGGCAAGCAGAGGCTGAGAACTCGAGGGGTCTCTGTGTTAGAGGTGACAAGAGTCTAAGTCTTTATGAACAAGGTCCCAGGGACACAGTTCATGCAGGTGCAGAGACATCCTGAGAGCTGTCATCTGCCACGGTAAGATGCTTTCTTCCAAAGGAGAGAGAGACTCCTTGTGAACACGGTCCTCCTTGTTCTGGCGAGCACAGGACTTATAGTAACAAGGGGTACAGCAGGAAACAGTGGCCTCTCTGAGGTTCAGCAGAGCTCAGCTGTGCTGAACACAGTGTACTTGATTACCTCACGAGCCTGACAACTAACAAAAAGCCACCTGGAATTTTCCACTGTAACCAAGGTACTAGTAGGTTCTCTACAGGGGCAGAGTTCCTGGGACTGAAATTTGAAATAGTCATAAAGTGATAGGGAAACAAGAATAAAAGCAAGTTCTCATTTGGTTGCAGAAGGCTAGGTATGATTGAGACATACTTCTTTTAAAAAATAAATGCTTGAATCACTTTAAAAATGTTTTCCAGTGATTCTTTCCAAGATTTTTAGTAATAATGTTCTTAGATCTCGGAAGAGACTATTTAGAATACAGTGTAGAGACAGCCAGTACATGCTGTGTGCAGAAGTCCCTCTCACTCTTGCTGCAGCTCCTGACACACAGGGGACTGGCAGCTGCAGGCCTCTAGGCCGTCTGCTCTCATCTTCACTTAATTCTCAGGGATTCAGTCCTCTGCACACTTGGGCCTTTTAAACACTGTACACAAAGAAAAACAGCAGGTTTATACTATTCTCCTTGCCCTGGTTATCTTTAACTGTCCACTTGACAAAGCATGGAGTCATCTGACCAGAGAATCTCACCTGAGGGATGGGCCTACTAGAATGTCTGCGGGGTTATCTTGACTAATACGTAATGTGGAAAGGTCTAGCCTACTGTGGAAGGTACCATTCCCTCCCTGGGCAGGTAGTCAAGACAACAAAAGTATCCCTCCAAGTTTCCTCCTTCAGTGCCTGTTTGAGTTGCTGCGCTGACTTCCCTCTGTGATAGACTGTGCCATGGAAATGCAATACAAATAACTTTGACTTCCCCTAAGTGCTTTGGGTAAGTGTTTAACACATCAACAGAAAGAAAACTAGAATATTCCATAAGCCAATCTCATGGACCTTTAAAAAGAGGTAGCTAAGACTCAGCAGGAAGGGAACGGTACTATGTACACTGTAGCACCATTTGGGAGTTTGAGGTCAACACAGTCCTCTGTCCCTAAGTTTTCTATAGTAAACAGTTGCTTTTTTTTTTTAAATTAACCATAAGGTATGTATATGTCTGTGTGTACATAAACATGTGGACGTGAAGTGATTGAAAGGGGGAAAATACACAATTTAGTAATTGCATGATGGTAAAATCATAAGAAAAGTTTTGGGCTTTTTTTTTGTTTTGTTTTTAAGAAAGTTTGTTGTTTGGTTTTCTTTTCCTTTTTAAAGGCTGGGGAGATAGCCCACGCAGTCAAGTGTTGTATTATAAGCATCAGGACCTGAGTTGAGAACCAAGAACTCAAGTAATTGCCAGATGTGGTGGTGCATGCTTATACTCTATTGCTAGAGAGGTGGTAGAGACAGGGGACTCCTCGGTTCACTGGCCTACCAGCCTAGTCTAACTGAAGAGCATTCGGGCAATGAATAACCCTGTCTCAAGAAAGCAGATCCTATCTCAGAGGATGCCACCTGAGGTTACTCTCTGGCCTCCATACATACTTACAGGACAGAGTCAGGATGGAAAGGCAGAGGCATGCTACATGAGGAAGGTGGCAACACAGCCACACACCCATCCAAAACCTGCACGATTCCCACAGACCTTACTGAAATGATGAAAGGTGCAACTCTGAGCCCGGAAAGACGGCTCAATCATTAAAAGCGCTGGATGTTGGGGGGTGGGGTGGGGTGGGGTCTGAGCATGCTAGGGGGCAGGTAGGGGGACAGAAGCTCACCTTTTGTTTCCTGATATATATGGGATGCAATGTGAGGAGGGTCTTTGGATCTACTTATACCACCTAGAAATGTGCTGCCACTGCCAGTATCAAAGAACACCGGAGCTCATGACTCAGGCATATTTTTTAAATAAAAGAAAGAAGGGAGAGGGGTGGATATCACACCAAAACCCCATGTCCTGCTCCTTGTGTGCTAAGTAGAAGCTTGGGGTAAATTACTCAGCCAACTTGATCGTAAAGTGGAACTCCCTCAGCAACAGCTGCACAGTGAAAGCAGACACCCACCTCTGTCCCCTCCAGAACCTGCAGCATAAAAACCACCGTGACAGGAGATGCAGAAGAGGGCCGTCATGGAGGACAGGGTGGGGTGGGATATGTGCACTGTGTGTTACACTGTTACAGGGCTGGTGATAAGGAGCATCAGGAGTGACCTTTCTCCCCCCGGGAAAAGTTCTCTGAGACAGCATGGGAAGACCAAGGGGATGAGAGACTCTTCAGCCTTCATCAGACCCTGAAGTGACAAGACTGTTTCCCGAAGAACCAGGGTCACAGCATCTTTAGCAATCTTAAACTGCAAAATCTAAACAATGTCAGTCTCTCTGTCCACCAATTCTTCTCACATTATTGTGAGGAAGTAACGACTACAGCATCTTTAGCCTCATGGTGCTTGCTTCTTTCCATTATTTATTATGCAGACAGTAAGATCATAGATTAAAAATAAAATCTATAAATGAGAACTATTGCTGCTGTTCATACCACATGTCAGACTGAATCAAAACCCTGTTGATGTCAGATCAGAAACAAATACTCTGACACCAAGATAGGAAAATTACTTATATACAGGAACGAGTGGATGATACTAAGCTCAGGTGAATCTGTCAAATCATGAAGAGATAGCACAGCACAAGTATACAACTATCCCCAGCTACTACACCATAAATAACTGAAAACACTGCAGATCAGATGTCACCCTGCTAATTAAGGATAGCTTTCTGAGCTCCTGACAAAATGGTGGACTCCCTTTATAAGCAGGGATTCTCCTTTTCTGACCTTGTCTGGGGAGCTAGAAACTCACGCCCCCCCCCCCCACACACACACCTGTGGAATGTCACTTAGCCTCAGTTAGATCACAGGTTCAGCTTCCTTTCTTCAGATAAGAACCAGACCAGCAAGCACCTGAGATTCCCGGAGTGCCTCCCCATGCTAATGAGGCATCTCAGTGCCTTAGCCTTCAGCCAATGACCTCTGCCTACCCTGGATATTCCTAACCCCTTCCTCCAAATCCCTTGATTCACCCGGAGTAAAAGTTGATCTGTTTCCCTGAAGGTGATCCCAGTGTCATGAACTGTATCAGCCAACTATCTCGGGAGTGGGGGAGGAGAGGAGTCACAATTAGATTTAGAATTCTCATAGGTAATAACTATAATTCTCTCTCTCTCTCTCTCTCTCTCTCTCTCTCTCTCTCTCACACACACACACACACACACACACACACACAAACACACGAGTTAAAAACACAACACATTTAAAAGGACCAATACAGGTTGTCCTATTCCCATAATACACATTTGGTGAGAATGCAGTAGAACAAACAAGAATGGAATGGTAATTATATTATCTTGAACCGTAACCAGACATTTAACAGAGAACAAAATTCAGGATTCCACAACTAGAGGCAGATCTCAGGAAATTAGCAACTATGGTTAAAAGTTTAAGATCAGTTTTTGAAGAAGACTAGAACTTTAGGAGATATATGGAAGAATTTATAAGGGCCAGTCTTATTTTTAACTCAATGGAAGACAGAACCTTCAGAAAATAGCCAGCAGAACAGCACAGAGTGTAAGTCTGCTAGCAAGGAAAGACATTTGCTCTCTTATCCGTGGCATAAATAAAGACTCTGCACAGGTTCTGTCCTGGGGAGCTTATAGACAAAATAACTCCTTACAAGTGCAGTTCTGAAACAGCAAAATGGGATACCTAAGAACGAGCAAATTTGCTTAAAAATATGCTTTACTTTGAAAACAGACTTAGTAAGTGTGGGCAGATAGGTGCCATATACGGCTGCCAAGTGTGATGCACACATGACTCGTCCCAGCCCCGAGGTTCCTAGAGAGCCTGGAGACAAAGCAGCTGCTGCCGTGGTAGTGACTGCGTGACAGCCAGCTAAGACAGTAACTAGCTGCACGGCACTCTTATCTGTCTCCCGAGTCAGATGACAATAAGCCCAGTAATATCAAGGACCAGAACCAGTCCAGGCTTAGAATTTAAATTTTTCTACTCTGCCTCAGTCAATCCTGAAGACACAAGATTGTTGTTTTGCAAAATAATCTACCAAGGTCACTCTGTTTTTAGTAACCTTGACATACACAACCAGAATAGTCCCAATATCTCTGTCCAGTCATTTTTCTCTGGTAAAAACATTTCCTCACAGGAATGTAGCAGCACTTATCACTGCCCTGCATGGATATGACAGCCTGGAACCTCCACAGGTCTTTCAAGGAACTGTACTGCACAACCATCAACTCCTTATAAGCTTGCCAAACTCTAAGGGCTCTGGGTAAAGGACAACATGGTGCCATTTGCTGCCATTTGAGTAAAGTGACAGTCAGATGTAAATATGGTCAACAGCAGGCCATCCTTGTTGGAGTGGAGAAAGGAGAGAGCTATGACTCAGACTGGGTATTAGGAATCCCTACTCTACATGAGAGTAACTATAGACTTGTTAAGATGAACAGAGAAGCTTAGCAGAGTGCCCTTTGTCAACAGACTCCACTAAGCCCCCAAACATGGGAGAGAACCCTGCAGCTATCCAGGAAGGCACCGGCCTGGAAGGCAGGCATGCACAGGGAATGCCTGGAAGGCAGGCGTGCACAGAGAATGGCGTATCTGTACCTTTCAGTCCTGAACGGATGACAGTGGGAGACAAGTCATCATAGTTGTTCATTAAGCTGATGTCTCCTGAGGTGAAGCTGACGGTGAGCAGAGGCTTGATGTTCTGCACAGGGATGGGGTATGCCGCAGGACCATCTGTGGAAACACAAGGGCCCAGTGACTAGTTGGCACTGAGTACAACCTGACCCCATGTCTAAGGCTGCTCTGTTTATGACACCTCACTTAGTACTTTTCTCTTGCCACGACAGAACACCATGACTCAGGCAACTTACAAGGGGAACAGTTAATGTGGGCTCACAGGTGCAGAGGGTAAGAGTTAGCAGGCAGGCAGGGCGCTGAAACAGAGTGGAGAGCTTGGATCCTTGTGTGTAAGGAAGAAGCAGAGAGAGAGGGATAACTGGGAATAGAATGGGCTTTTTAAAACATCAAATTCCATACCCAGTGACACACATTCTCCAAGGTCACACCTCTTAATCCTTCCCAAACAGTTCCATCAACTGGGGACCCTGTCAGTATTCAAACACGTGTGCCTATGGGGCCATGCTCATTCAAAGCATCACAGTGCCCTGAAAGTTGTCTAATAATAGAGCTCACACTCTGGTCTGGGACGGGCCAAGTGAAGCACGCACTGCAGCACTCAGGGTCACACAGTAGGGCACTCACGTGAGGAGCCGAAATGAGAAATAGGATAGGCAGCCCCAGAGGGAACTGAGGGTGATAACGTGTGTGAGTCTATTAACAAATATATTAATGTATTATGTGTTTCTTCTGATACTAAGTGTAAATTATTTAAATGTTGTGTAACATTAAGAATGGTGGGGAAAGATATAAAAGTGTTTTCTTAATTGTGGTCCAATGCACAGAGCAAAGAACTTCACTCTAAGTTAGAGACAATAAGCAGCCATAGCAGCCAGTATTAGATCCACAGGAGCCACCAAATTTACAGAGAGGGTAGAACCTAGATATGACTCATGAAGTACTTTACCATGTGTGGAGTACATGGCCAGCATTAGCAAACTCTGCTTGCAAGTTCTAGGAGTGCTCTTATGTAACAGGCTATGAACAGGCTCACCCACACAGTACTCGATAAAGAAAAAGTCAGGTTGCAGAGATGGCTCAGTGGTTATGAGCAGTCACTGCTCTTGAGAAGACCTGGGTTTGATTCCCAGCACCAATTCCAGTACCAGGGATCTGATGTTCTCTTCTGGTTCTGCAGGTGCTGCATGCATGAGGTGTACAGACTCAGATGTGGCAAAACAGCCACACATATGTAATAAATGAATTACAATATTTTTAAGTAAAAGTCTCTCTGAACACCTGGGTGGCTGGAGGTGTTGTAGTGGCACTGAGGTCATGTCCTGCAGGTAGTGAGGGTGGTCTAGCACACATGTAACCCAAGACAGCAACCTTTCCTTTACTCTAAGCAGTCCATCACACCACCTCTGCACTCCAACACTGCTACATCTGATATGCAATGTGTGCTACCCTGAGAGCACCCACTGCTTCTGAGAAGTGCACCCTGGTTAGAGAAGCGTCAGGTGTACACTGCTGTCTCAGGTCAATGTTAGACTTATTCTGTGGTCTTTGCACACTATTTCCTCCTCTAATAAAATGAGTAAATCTGCGTCCTACTTACTAGACAGGGTTTCCATTTGAAGACAAGCTATCTGCATTTCATCGAAACTGGCTTTATTACTCTCAGGCTGCAGAAATATGACTAATAATTTATCATGGCTGTGTCCATCAGGAGAAGGATAGTTACTTCCTCAATGGATTGCTAAGTGCTAAAACCCTCCTCCTAAGACCCACAGACCTGAACCCTACTGATAACTTATTTTGAACATGGGAAAAATCCTGAGGAATCATCTGTGTCTCTGTGACAGGAGGGAGGAGACATGTGCCATCCACACACTGATGACACTGGTCAAGCCCTTCTTCGCAGGACAACTTACATGATCCATCGTGACAGGATTGATGAGGAACCATGGAATGCATGGCTTCAACTCAAGGGGACGAGCGGAAACCAAGAGCAGACAGGAGCCTGCAGCTGTCGGACAGTCTTGTAAGCAAGGAGCCACTCCTTTCTCAATTTTATTATACATCTTTCTTCAAGGAAAAACAATTCAGGGCTGAGATACTGATGACGAGCCAATCAATCCTGATGTTGGCAGAGGCCTGCTGGTTAGCAAAGGCTTCCCTTGGTCTCCTTCACATCTGACAAATAAAATATACTACCACCACAGGTGAGGAGGCATAAGTCTCAAGTATCCAGCACCAACTAACACCAATAAGGCTTCCAGAGGGGCACTACAGCCTTGTGACTGAGAAGGGACAGAGCACAGATAGGGACATGGAGCTCTAGCTCCAGCTGCTGCTGTCTGGAACAGGAGAATGACTCTTTCTTTTACATAAAGCTAAGCCACCAGCTTTAAAACCGCTAGGGATTTGGCCATACCACATATTAAGTTATATTAATAGTATGTAATGTTTCATCTATAATGAAAATTTATTCCTGCTAAGCAGCTAGGTCCCACAAAACCCTAAGGGTAGGAGGAGACATATGTCTCATTTTATGTCTAGGAAAACCTTAGTCTTTGGAATGCAGTCAATGCACCCAGTGATCTTGAGAAAAGGCGTAATGGGAAGACACACATGGGGGGGGGCGCGCAGTTGTGCTGCATTTCAGCATCAAGAGCTCTCTCCAGGAAGTCAGAGAGGTGTATGTAAGGTGAACCTTCTCTGAGTGATGTCACTCTTTCCCGATGTGCTCTTTGCCATTGCAATAAAAGCGAGGGCAGTGCGCCGGTTACCTTGGGGAGGAGAATAATCGTCTGAGTCCGTGTCACTCTCACTGCTGTCCTCCACCAGGAAGATGGGGTAATTCCAGGACATGCTGAGGATGCCATCAGACTCATGTAGGAGGACATGGGCTAGCATTCTGCCGTGGCAGTCCATGACAATCACCTGCCCATCTGCTGTGCCAAACAACACCTGCAACCAAAGAGCAGGGCCCTTGAACAAGTGGAGTAAATTTCAGTCTCAATTTATTTTAGGAGGAAAAAAATACATGCACAACTAAAAAGACAAACCGATGAAAACAGGGCGACAGGACAACTGGCTTGGTTTCTTTTCTGTTGCTGTGATAAATACCCCACATAAGCAACTTCACAGGGTCTATTTTAGCTGTTCCAGGTGACAGTCCCCATAATGGGGAAGTCACAGAGGCAGGAGCCTGAGGGGCTGGCCACACCGTCTCCATAGTTCAATACACACATGCATGGTCAGCTCATTTCCCACAGTTCTACAGGCCAGGCAGGGTCACCATCAGGAGTGGTGCAACACACAGTGAATGACGCTTCCTACCTCAATCACTGTAACCAATAATCCCTCACATACGGGCATGTGACCAGCCAGCAGCATGATGAACACATTATGCTGCTCATGCACTTTCAAAAGCAGAAAAAGCCTGCTGCACTGTTTTTTGTTTTGGTCTTCTAGCTAAAAGAGGGGCTAAGAAAACATCCATCTTTGTAGAAAGTAAAGAGGCACCAGGGATTGATTATTATAGCTCTAATACAGAAACTTTTACGCCTGACAAAAGAGGAAATACATCAGGTCATGTAAGGACCACATCTTACCACATGTGGAAAACAAGACGCTCTGAAAGTGACTTTTTAATTAAAGTTTAGACGGCTTATAAAAGAATGGGTCTCATTAATATATTCTCATACATGTACATTATGCTTTCCTGGAAAAGGTTAGACTTTCCATGTTTAGAGTGTTTTTCACAGATGACAGTGACATTAATGATACAATAATCAATGCAATGCTGTGAAGACGGCATTTACATACTCACCGAATGTTTATACAAGCTGCCACGTCCTTCATCACAATTAATAGAAACTGCTGGTCCATACTGGAATGGACCTCAGAGGAGCCCAACACCTCAGTATGGTTAGGGCTACTCCTGAGAACTTTCTCTTGATCCCACAGCTCTTAGAGGACACAGACAAACTGAGTATGTGAGGCAATGGATGTAGGCAGGCACACATCAGAGCTAGCAAATTCTGAGGGAAGAGTCTTTGGCTGTCAGCTCCTCACTGTGAGTAGCACGGGTATGCCACAGTTGTTAGAAACCAAGCTGGACAGAAGTGTGTCACTACCAGAACATTACAAGAGAAGCCTTGGGTCCCAGGAAGCAAGATGAACACTTACCACCTGCTTTGTGATCGCATCTGGAGATCTTGGATCTGACACTGTTATAAACTTTGAAATTGTTTTGCCTAACGGGATTGAGGGATCTGTGCCTAACATCCGCTTCTCAGTGTGACAAGCCTGCCAGTTATCATCTGTAACACATGCACACGCACACACGCACAGAGCTTAGGAAGCATGAAATAGTCAAACCAGACAGGGCTATCTAACTGCAAGGGCTGGAATTCACACTCAGAACATTTTTAGGGTTTTTTCATCCTGGCATCCTCTTGCTCTTGAGACACTGTGACAAGCACCTCTACAGCCGACTCTACAGTTATATCCTTGGCATCTCGGAGAGCTCTGGATGCAGAGTGAGCTCTTGGTGAATATTGTTTTTAATGAAAAGACTGAATTAAAATTAAAGACAGCAGCAATTTAAAGACATGTGGGTAAATGATTAATAACGAGGGAAGAAGTAATAAGCTTATGGAATATGTATGGCTGTTTTATAATGAACCAATCACTCATTAAATATTCTGTTCTGCTGTTGTTTCTAAGATAGGGTCTATTCAACCCAGGCTAAATTCAAACTTGTAAGCTTGCTGCTTCATGTTTCAAAGTTTTGTGACAAAAAAGCATGTCCCATCATAACAAATATTCCTTTAAACATCATCTACAGTTAGGGGCTGTTCTGGGACAAGTATGTCACAGATAACTGAAGAACAGTAATACAACATGAAATCAGATTTGAAAAAAGAAATCCCCATTACAAGTTCCTTTCATGACTAACCACTTCAAATGAGATAAAGCTTCTGTAAGCAGAGGATTTCAGGAGAACAAGACAGAGGGAGAATAATGAGACCACGTGCAGGAAGACATCAGTCTGCCCACAGCCAAGGCACACTGGTGCTGGGGCACAACAGCCCCTTCCAAGCTCCTGCACCGCTTGCAGTTCCAGGTTAGGCCTAACTCTCTTTTCTCTCAGCGACTACAATCATACCACCTGCCTCACAGACCTCCAGATAGTCAACCCGTTGCCAGTTAAGACTGGCTTTGCTGAGGCTCCAATGTCCAGCATCTGTGTAGTACAACAGGTACTTAGAGGGCTCATACGAGGAACTCAGGGGCTCTCCACACAGAACTGGCCTTATGCTAACCACAGCCTTCACTCACAGTATGCTGAACTCCACTCTGGTTTTGGATCAATCTCCATCATAGCTCTTGAGGACAGGTCTGCACCCTAAAATGTCAGATGGTTCTGTGAGGAATGACTAGTAACTATTATACATTAATTTGTGCAAAAAAAAATATCATTGGCTTTTGGCCTAGCTTTTCAACCAATCAAATTCTGACTTTTTCCTTTCCTTCTTTAAATTAAAGCTCAGTATTTACTTCTTCTGCTAAGATTGCTCTCCCCTAAATTTTCTTCTACTGTTGCTTCTGGTGGCTTCCATGCTCCTAGTCAGAGTAGGTACAAGCCTCTGTAAGGTTAGGCCAGCTTCTTCAGCAGAGAGCTAGTTCAACCCTGTCTCTGCATTTCAATCACCTTTCAGTTGGAAATATAAACTACAAGGCAGTTTTCTCTTAAGATTTAAATTACATTTTAAAAATTATATATATTGTATGTATGTATGTGCGTATGTATGTATATACGTATGTACGTATGTATGTGTGTATGTACGTACGTATGTACGTGTGTATGTACGTATGTACGTATGTGCTCATGAGCACTGACACCCATAGAGACCCAGAGACCAATCCCTTAGAGTTGGCTCCAGGTTTTGTTGATGTTGTTTTTTGGGTTTTGTTTTTTTGTTGTTCCTTTAGCAATAATGTGATTTTAGTAATCCACATGTGTGCTAGATAGTTTTACATCAGCAAGGCATAAGCTGAAGTCATCTGAGAGAAGGGAAACCCAATTAACAATAAGATCTGGCTACGGCTACGGTCAATTTTCTAGGGCATTTTCTTAACTTGTAATGGATGGGGGAGAGACCAGGCCATTGTGGGTGGTGCCATCCCTGGGCTGATGGTCCTGGGTTCTATAAGAAAGCAGGCTGAGCAAGCCAGTACACAGCACCCCTTCACAGCCTCTGCATCAGCTTCTGCCTCCAGGTTCCTGCCCTGTGTGAGCTCCTGACTTCACTTCCTTTAGTGACAGACTATATGATGTCAAAGTGTAAGCTGAATATATTCTTTTCTCTCCAACCTGGTTTTTGTTCACGGTGCTTCATCACAGCATCAGACACCCTAACCCAGAAAATATCATCTTTTCATTTCCATACAGAACTGGTTTTATAATTGTTAACAGTGGTTTACAGTGAACTGTAAGCTTGGAACCCAAGCTCCAACCCTGAGTGGAAAGGGGGAAGATGCAGCACCATTCCCAGGCTCTTATTTTGGAAGCAGCAGCGTCTTATCAGTACAGTTACCTTTAAAAACAATGCTCATCCCAGCACTTGGGAGGCAGAGGCAGGCGGATTTCTGAGTCCCGAGGCTGGCCTGGACTACAGAGTGAGTTCCAGGACAGTCAGGGCTACACAGAGAAACCCTGTCTCGAACCCCCCCCCCCAAAAAAAAAGAAAGAAAGAAAGAAAGAAAGAGAGAAAGAAAGAAAGGAAGAAAGAAAGCTAGCTCACCTACATGCTTTAGTAAGACTGGACTGAGGAATTGCCAACAAGCATGGTTCCACAAACAGCGTTTTGTAATGTAGTATAATTATTAGCACTAGAATTAGTTCCTGAGGGAAGTGATGATTTTTCTACAAGCTTTATGGCCCAGAGCCACAGGAAGCATAAACACTGGCAACATGCTCCCTTAACCTGAGCATGGATAGTGCAGAACTGAATGGCCTGCTGAGGACCAGAATGAAAAGACATCCCTCTTTTTCTTCAGAGGGAGCCTCTGCTCTGATGTAATTCACAGCAAACTTCCCTCTCATTTTAGAACAGCGGCCTTCAGAAGAGCTTCAAGGCTAGGCCTGGATACTTTGTAACTAAAGGAACGGTCTCTAAGAGGAGACAGCTGTAAATGAAAAGAGCTGCACACCCGCACCTGATACGACAGTTGCTGTTTTACTCTGAAAAGATACGAAAGGCGGCTTCACAACTGACCATAACCACTTCTAATCTGTGTGAGTCTGAAGACCCCACAGCTCTCGGCTGCTGAAGACTACTTGTAAACTAACCTAGAGACAAGGGAAGACAGCCTCTCCAGCCCAGAAATGAGCTTTCTTCCCTCCTTCCCAGAGCCGGAAATGATTTTGTAGGAGTGCTGCACTGCAAAAGGGAATCCCATGTTTATTTTAAGCCCTTAACTAACCATCTATGGGAAGATTCCTTTCCCAAACAGGCAAGGAAACCACGAGTCCTCACAACTGAGAAGAGCACAGAGTGAAGAGCAACTCCCTCCTTTTCTGGCTACCCTCATCCAATCATTGTGCCACTCTGTTTCTTGTTTGGAGCATTTTGTTTTGTTTTTCCATGTGTTCTGAAATTTTTGAGGCCTTGTGGAAGAAAATCCATTTCTTTAACTCCAACAGGTTCAGCTACTATATCTGTATATTGCATTTCATTTTGTTGTTGTTACTGTTATTGTTGTTTGGGTTACTAATTAAGACCCCATACTGGCCACAGTGGTGCACATCTATAATCTGTGTTCCTGGGAGGCTGAGGTAGAACCACCAACTTGAGACCAGCCTGGGTTGCTAGGCTCCAACACACATTAGAATTCTGGTTGGTTGTGGTTCTCTCTGTGGAATTCTTATGGCTGTCTTTTCATGCCTACCCATAGCA